TGTTATGCTCAATATAGTATTGCATTTTCTACTGAATTTTACTTCAGCATTTATTCCTGCATTTTTCCGCGAGAAAATTGTAAACTTATACGCCTTTTTAAAACATAAAATTCGTTAGGGATGTATTGAATAGTAACAGTTTAGATGATATAGTTAACACCGGAATTATTAATTCTTGGAATGAGTCAACGTACCAAGAATTATTTACGTTAGAGGAATCAATAGCGACATTAATCCGCAACTGTTACCAGACTCGCAGTGATTCATGTAATATATGTATTTATGTGATTATAGCTCTATTACGAAGTTCATAAATATGTTTTTCACTTGTTGCAATTTTCGATTGGCGATATTTATTTTGTATGTCCTGCATTTACATTGTAAAATAAATGCTTCTGTGATACCCGATACGGTGTATGTTTTATATCTAAATAATATTATTTTTCATTATTTTAATATTTTCCTTTGTGATTGAAACCGCACTGCAGTATGTCTGTTTAATTTATATTGTCTATATAATATTTATATTGTCTATATAATGTCTGTTTAATTTATATTTTAATTTATATTATAAATATTTCATCAGTTTTATATAATCAGTCTACTTTTATATCATTTTGGGTTGAATTACAACGACGGTGGATTTTCTTTAATATATACTTTGACAGCACAAAAATAGACTACGTACGGTAGATTATGACTGATTTTCTACATTGAACGATGAAATATCACTCTGAATATCGGTTGTCATACGTTACGTAGGTATATTTCATCAACCCTGTATCCTTCTTGGATGTCAGAATATATTGGTGACTATATATATATTGGTGTTATATCTTGCTCATGTTATTCAGAATTTCTGGAAACATATCCGAATATGTGTGAAGGAAATGTCCCATGAGGCTTCTACGGTATTCCAAGCCGCTGTCTTTCGTCATCGACTCAATATAATCATTGCACTGTCTTAAAAACCTTTAGAAAAACTTGAATAATTTGATTATCATTAAATTATGTACGTTCACTTTTGCTTATCACATCAAAACTATATTTGACAGATGTTTGTGTTAAGTTACTATTAACAAATAAGTATACAGAATCCTGTTAAGGAAATTTATGTCTATAATATCACAAAGTTAGATTGATTTGACTGCCAGCTTATCGTCTCACACTTTTGACTTTGTGGATTATTTTTATCTAGTTTTCTTTTTCTAATTTACCTTTTGACTATGACAGAACCTTTAAAATTTACAATGCAGTTTCTCATATTTAATTACAATTTATTTGTGGACATTATTTCTTTGTACAAAACAAGTTGGAAGCTAGTGATTTTCACAGAACAGTGTGTACTGTGGTTTTGGTGGCAAAATTCTAATCAAATGACAGTCGTTTGAATTAACATAAATTTCGAACCAGTTATGTTGTAACACATACAAGCTACTCTCATATATCATAGTTATATAAAGTGTCTCTGTGATAATGGAGTCGCGAAGAAATTATCATGATGTTCGATGAGGTGACGTGCCGGTTTATATTACTTATGCGGATAACACGACACCTTTATTATCCTCAGGAAACAATGTGAAAGTGGTCTAAGCAAGCTATTATAGTTTATGAGCGGTCTTATCTGTTTTATGTAGGGCTTCCAAAGTGTTTAGCCAAACGCAAAAACGTTTGTAAAAAAACAAAGATTTATTTTTTTTAACATTAAAAACAATTCTATGTTAATATTATAGAGACTGAAAGATTTTATTTGAACTAGACTAGGAAAAATAGGCTTACAAATTATTTCATATACGGGAAGCTTCATTATATGCGGGTGACAAAGGTTATAATTTACTCGGTCGAAGCCACGTGAAAGTATCAAATAACAAAGGAAAGGTTGTATATCTGGAATGAGGAAGTATTTAAAAAAAAAATTGTTCTGGAATCAAACTAGATGTCGCTACGGTACGTTCTTGATTTCTCCATGACAACTCTTCCGGTTATCTATCATGTTCAAAAGTAAATTAGTTTTCAAAAATGAAAAAACAACTCATATTCTATTTGTACTTTTTCATATTTGTATTGATGTCTAAGTTTTGAACTTTTCAAATTTCAGGTTTTGATTAAGTTATGTAGTTATAAGGAACGGAAACGGAAATGACTGTCTGTAGTCAAATTATCAATTCATATTCTATTTGTACTTTTTAGTTTGTATACTTATAAGTATAGAACTTTTCAAATTACAGTTTTTTAATATGTTAGTTAAAAGGAACGTCTTTGGTCCATTCGTTTCCTGCAAAAATCAACTTTTGCTAGAGTCACCATCTAGTGGAGGTGCTTTATTAGTGCTTTCTTTTTTTTTAATACTTCCTCATTGAGTGACAGTGATTAATAAAACTGGAATAAAATGCAAAATTGTAAGTGTGGACACTGAGGTATGGTGATATAATTTCAATTTATTGATAAAATAAAAAACAGGCGAACATCTATGAAAAGAGCAATGAATGTAAGCATTGTGCCTTGTTGCACTCGGTACTCTTTGCCCTGTCACGTAAGGAATACGGCGTGAAATATATGTCGTGTTTATAGTATAGTTTCGACGCAACTTTATTTTGTGTTGCGTTTTTCCTTGTGCCTAACATAGTCCATATTATAAACGGACACTAGAAAAAAATAAACAGACAACTGCGACCAGGGGAATTCCTTCCTACTAACCAATCTTATCTCAAATTCCAGCTACCACTATGATAAATAATATTATTGTATAACTAGAAAAGCGGTTAATAGACTCAATAAACGAAGTCGAGTGAAGACTTTGTTTTGTAAGTACATCTGTGCAACTTTAAAAACAAAACGAACCTTATTGATTATGATCGTTTTGTATAAAAATATAAGATTAAGGGTCTGTGTTAGCCTGAAGGAAGTTACTAGGAGTCAGCCAGTTGCACAAACTTCCATAAAAATTTCCATTAGTTTAAAGCGACATTACCTATACAAATTTGACATTCATTAGAGCTTAAAGACGTCATTAAAGCTTAATGAACGTTTGTGCAACTGACTGAGTCTTACAGAAGTACGCGTTCGTACGCGAGGGATCGATCATCCGTCGAGTGCGAAATGCGGGATGTTATTTCATATGATGTTTTTCAGTTCTCACTTTCCGCAATGCTTATTTATCAGATATGCGGCGCCATTTAATTGAAATATTGTAAATGGACACGTGTGTTATTTGTTTGTTTCCTTTCGTCTCGCAACGGAGCGTTATGACTATGATTGGTATGAAAATATAAAATATAATTTTGATATATTCTTTCCAGAGTGGGAGGAGTAGGTATGATTCACATTTTGTTATTAGGTACCTACAGAAAATATGTTGTACACACAGTTGAGTGACTCATGTTTTTGTATACCTATCGTACATTGATATAATCAATACAATGACAATTTACTTGTAGGCACATAGCAAATATAATATTGTGTCGCCTTTCTTGTTTGAAGCACTGGTTGTCTCTGTACAATGTTTTATCTGAATGACGCCTAATTTTTTTCATAAATTCTTTAAAAACAAAACAAAATAGGCCTGCATGAATAATCCTATGTTTACTTTTTTCAAATAAGTAAGCAAAAATATCTTATCTATTAAATTGTATTGATAAAAAAATAATATTGATAACGTTTGAACAAAGAAGTTTGTATGACGATATCATTACTTACGTCGATGTGGTTTTGAGTATATACATGATATTTATGAAACACATGCATTTTTATTAATTTCATAATCGACTTTGTCTGATTTTATGGCATAGGTTTTTATTCATACTGTCCGTGGTAGGGTTGCTAACCGTACTCTAAAATAGAGTATTGACTATATCATATACGCGTACTCTATAATCTATAACACTGAAAGAGGTCGCTTGAATACACTTTTTACATAATATTTATGATATAAGCGTCAGTTATGCATTTACCTATTATTGTAACCAAAAGTCCAAACTCTTTATTTACCTCCTTTGAGATTAGATATATGTACTCTCTTTCTTATAATAAAAGTTAACAACCCTAGTCTGTAAACCCTAGTTAGTTTTTCTTAGTTTTGGTATAACATGTTCCATTGCATTCTAAATATACTTATGTACTATGAAAAAAATTCTTATCCGTTCGTGTCGCTCTAGCTACTCCGTCATATCAAAGAGTAGGTACCAATCGCTATAATAAATCGATTTGCTACGGTAAACCATTTTATGTTATTTGATTGCGTTTAGTTTCTTTTTTAATGATATAATTATGTATAATTGTATGCGCGGGTACTACAAAACTATTATATAAATTTACGAAGATAAACGGTATCGTTTAATTTTATTTTAAATTAATATAAGGTTCTTTTTTGTTATTGAATTTTCGTGTTTCCGAGGTGTAAACAAAATAATTGTTTTTGTTGACTCTATCGATAGTGACACTTCCAACAAAAAGTGTATTTGCACAACCAGCTGCAGCCTGTTGTACTTCCTTGCGCGTAGACACTCACTAAGGAGTTTTTTTGGAAATTCAATCTCTAACATTGACCTTCATATTTAGGGTGCTAGTAAAAAAAAGAGTTTATACCCGCTTAAGCGTTCGGAGAAACTCAACCCCCGTGGGAGTGAAATCGGCGTTGAAATGTTACACGGAATTCCGTCAATTTTGGTCTAAGAGGCATGAAACTTTATTTTTGCGTTCACGATGGCTAAGCCGCTGTCGGAAAGCTAGTAAACTAGTATTATGATGAGAAAATTTCATTTTTTTATAGGCTTCTAAACTACTGGACCGATTTTAAAAATTCTTTCACCTACGATAAGCTAATTCATACTCGGGTAACATAGACTATATTCACGCGGGTGACGTCGCAGGAAAACATCTATACTTTCATTCTTACCAGAAAAATTATTTCTGGAATCGGTTTCATTTTCATTACTTTCCCTCTATAATGCTAATGTAAATATATGGTTTTATTGATTGGAACATCCTTTGTATTGTTGCAGCGAAACACACTTAACCTTTACATATCACATCAACGGGGGCCGTTTTACAAAGCAGAGTTCCAAACCGAGTTAGATTTGAGGAAGTTCCACATCGCCGATGTTACAGACAAACGTATATTCGTCTCTGTCATGCACACGGAGACGCTAGCTAATCTGTTCGTGTCAGAGATCAACAATAACTTTTCGCAGTACAATTTCGTGTTGAGCTTGGAGCAGATTCTGTGCTATTTCCCCGATGGAAACTGGAAGGATAGTTTTCTAGAGTAAGTTTAGTTATTGGCTTACCTATCAATCAATGGGGATCATTTGATAAATAGACTATAGACCACCCACTTGGTTATATTTGCAGGTTAATAAAGTATCATGTCATCTATAAATGAAATCTCTGGTCATCGGACCACTTGAGATGCTTCCAAAAACCATAGTTAGGAACTACTGTTATATATGTTACCAGAAGTAAATATTTATTCGGTTCCGTGTCCGTGACGATTGGAGCACGATCCGGAAATGGATAAATGACTGTCAATTGTAACATGTGAAGCAATTTATGGTTATTGTAGTTTCTATATCGGTATTTCTTCGTAAAGGCATTTGCTTCTGAAATAGACATCTGAGTCAACAATTGACATCAGGAGGACCAAATGATTTATCAGATAAATATTATATTTTACCGCGTACACTTGGTACGTTCAAAAAACATTTTTCGAGCGTATTTAAGCGCGTCAAACTCGATCTCTATCCTTCTCTAAAATTCTAGCAATTTAGGGTCGGTGCAAATCCGAAGGCGAACGTTAAGCGTCTTACAGAAGTATGCAAGGTAGACGGTCATATCATATCAGTCAGTCTAAAGTTCCGTCACCAACAATTACATATCCTGTCAGATATGCACCCACCCTTATAGGCCTTTTTTTATACCGAGGGGAATTGACCTTAACATGCCGTCGACCTGGACGAAAGGCCGACTGAACCCTCTCTCGATTGAATCTCTCGGGCTCACTCTCTCCATATCCACAGCACGCCTACCCCCGTACCACCCTCGTGCATAGTCCGGTACCTGGTATCTTAAAATAAGTCCCAGGTAGATCCGGACCGACCCTTATAGGCCTACTTTTTCTGATGATTTGAATGTTAATTGCTGCTTCATTCCAGGGACGTGACAGAAGATCCTTTTACGGATTTGTATCGAGTAGAAGGCTTAAAGGGTGTGTACATAGCATCACGGGTCAACTCCACCACACTCGTAACAAACATTGGCCCAGAGCACTTAGTGTCGATGATCACATTCGATCATGGTGTCACTTGGTCACTTATCAATCCTCCTACGGAAGACGAAAATGGTAAGTTAGCTAAATATACTAGTTTTTTCATGAATAAATATGCTGACTTATTTATTTATTTATTTATTTATTTATTTATTATTATACATACACTTGCAAGTTCACAGATTTTATGTCCAACACACATGCAAGTTATACAAAATGTCAAGAATAATAAGAAATGTCAAATTAAAATTTGATAAATCCATTAGCTTAGCTTAAAAGTCCCATAGTTAAGGAAAAGAGACAGAGAATCGATATTCGTCTATGCTCTGTCAAATATCCAAAACCTATTAGCATTAAATTATAAAAAATGTAATTCTAGTCGAAACAAAATGAAGTCTACTACTACTCTAGAAATAATATCTATATCATAGCAGTCTCATTTAATATATCTATAATAGTAGAAAATGAGAATGCTTCACGCACGCGGAATCGACTTTTATAATTAATTTGGCTCAAAGTTAGAAAAGTATAAAAACTACTGTTAGATATATTATAAAAGAAAATCGATTTCAGGGTCTGTCAATAAATACTCTTATAGCATTCACAGGGAATATTAAAGTCATATCGGTCTCCATATGAGAATAAACTTTACATACTATACCTATTTGTAAATCTTTATTGTATTCAAGTGTTTAAAATAATATATTTATTAATAAAGAGTCTGTTACCTTAAAAGCATTATTAGTTAGGATCTGTATAATCAGTAGCAGCATTCAATACCAACGTCCGGTAATATTATCAACAACATCATAAGAATTGCAGGGATTCCATAAATTGAGCGTGGAAAATACTCATTGACTGTGTGGAAAACACAATCAACTAATGTAATTTGTTTATTTGTAAAATAACGCTTTTATCATTTGGGTTTCAACATTTGCACAAACAAAATCATAACTATGAATATGCACGCGTGAATTGTAACATTTATCTAAATGTAATTAGTTATATTTTAAATACAGTGATTACAATCAATAATTGTATTTCCACAAACAGTTAATGAGTATTTTCTTGCGATTTATGGAATCCCTGAAATTGTTATGATGTTGATAATATTACCGGAAATTGTTATTGAAGAAATCCCGATAGTAATTATACAGATCTGGGTTTATTATTGTATTTAATATATTATTGTTGATATCAATGTAGGTACATTCTTTGAACATAATATGACTCTCTCTATAAACATTTCATATACATATATTATAATATCATGAATGCAAGAAACTTATGAAGTATGTCATGTTTATATACATTTGAAGGCCGATAAGATTTGAATATTTCTTATGAATGTACCTTTGATATTGCTTTATCTTCGACTTAAGAAGGAAAAGTATTCATTGACAGATACAGACATTAATTTTCATTTATTATAATCTAAGATGAGTCTGCAAACTGTCCAAATTAATAGCAAAATAATAGCACCAAAAAATTCCCCAGGTCAGAAGCATTTTAATTTTTCTACTATTATCTAGAGAACTTTTCGAGTACTAGTCAAATGTTATTTTACTATAATTTAGTTTAGAGACCATTGGTAAGGGTAATAATAAGTTAGAATATACACACGGCATGTCAGGTTACCGCAATATATCGAATTAACACATTGATTTTCAAGTCTACCGCCAATGTGTTAAGGTTTAAAATTAAGTGAATTTATTATTACTGTTTGTTTGCGAATCCCGTTTCTCCTGCGAATTTCAGAAATTAGTTATTTTGGTCTTGGGCATAGGCGATAGGATAGTGAATAAAGTGCATGGGACATCTTAGGTGTTTGAGGATGATACCGTACAATACAAAAATTTCAAGGTCCTCTGACCAAGTTTTTATATACACATTCTTAACGTTACATTGAGTTTTACAAATATTATTAGTGATGTATTAAAGGTCATCCTGAGGGTGACACGACAATTTCCGGTCCGTCTGTGGTCTGTCATACCTACGCTACTTTTAGCAGAAGCCCAATCTCTATGAAGTGCCGAGCTGTCCGTAGCTCATGTAGTTTGGTTTTAGGTCCTGTCTGATTGTATCGTCAGTTAGTGAGTCAGTCAGTGGTTTTCCTTTGCAAATATACGTAGTTCAACTATCATTTTAACTTATTTTTAATAACTGTTTACCCGTGATTTCGCTCGCGTAACCTTAGTATGGGAGCCCGCGTAACCTTAGATAGTTGTACCTTATGTCGCCTGAATATAATTTGCTATGAGATTTTTTTTAAATAAGTCCAGTATTTTCGGATCCTATATTAAATGCACACAAACAAACAAATCAAATCTTAACTCTTCATATATTAGCATAGAGTATAGATTGACAAAGTAACAAATTATGTTTCAGGATCTTTTAAGTATCACTAGAATTATTTCTATCCAAGTATTCTCGGAGCATTAAAAAGAGCAGAGTAGAAGGGGGGGGAGGGGTTTATTTCTCCTCGCGTCGTATTCTTTATACCTGAGAGTCGTGACTTCTTCGCAGAATCAAGTCTATGGCTACTTTCCTCTACTTGTTTCGGTCTAACAACGAGGATAGCATTTGGTCTGACTTATCACTATAATAATGGGCTACGACCTTTAGGTCGTTTTTTGTTAAATTTGCCTGTCACCATCAGTTCTTTGAGGCTGATTTTTAATTCCCCTGCAATGGTATCCGGTGTAAAGATAAAAATATTATTTTGCTAATATTAAGTAGACTGCACTAGACTGAGCGAAAAGAGTTTTGCTAATTATAGCTGCTGGTGTTTCTAATATTCTGTTTACGCTATATTTGAATCTTGAATGAACTCACATTACAAATTCATTGTTGACAGGGAACCGTCTCAACTGTTACATGAACTACTCCTGCAGTCTACACTTGTGCCAGAAGTTCAGCCAACTGTATCCAGTGACAAGGTGAGAAGACATTTATGATATAAGTTGTAAAGTTGCAATATGTACAGTTGCTTTTATCGTTATAATGTTCTTTTTATGATATGCATTATTGTATATATTACGTTTTGTTTATTTGATATACTGGCAGGTTGTTGTTGTTTTGATATTAGAAAAACAAAATTGATTTCAAATTTTCCAAAATAATAATTTGGCGCAATTTTCCTTCTACGTCAGTCTAAAGATTTGTTATATGGTTTTTCGAAGTTATTTTTTATAGCTCTTTTGCATAATATACGTAAGTTTTTTTTTAAATACGTATTAATTAAGCTTGATATTGCTTTTCGCATTTAGTAAAGGAAAAATGTTTTGTTTTTAAGGATAAATTTAAAAAAGAATACTAGTTATTTTTTCTCATCATCATCATCACCAGCCCTTTTACGTCCTCACTGCAGGGGCTCAGGCCTTCCTTATGGATGGTTAAAGAGGACGGGCCATGACCCTCCACGCTGGCCCAATTCGGATTGGAGGATATTAACGACTGCAAATGCAGCCGGGACCAACGGCTTAACATGCTATCCGAAGCACGGAGTAGCTCTAGATAATAATTTTCGTCACCCATCCCGTGACTGACCCTTGCGAAAGTTGCTTAACGACTACGATCGCGGGCCGCGGCGCTTATCCACTACGCCACCGAGCTACTCGCCATTTTTTCTATAGAGAAACAATTTATGCTTATAAATAACTTTTTAAAGTCGCAAAAAAATAATTCTCTTACCGGGTAATTGGTCCTCTAAACTAACTTGGGAAAAATTCTCTTATTCATATAAATAGAGTAATTAAAATAATCAGTAATAGACGGAGCGGTAAGGTGGAAATAAGAAATAAAAAACTTATATGGTAATTATGGACCTTCCCTTTTTTTAAGTATTTAAAAAAGAGGTGTTACTGTACATCTTACTTTTTAATATGATCTTTCTGTATTACTATTTTTTATGTATTCTTTAGTCGTGATTTTTTATCGCAATACAATTAATATTCAATTGACTAAGAACCTGTAACAAATAGATGCTATTTCATATTGTCTTAATTACCTTAATTGTATAATATAACTTTGGTATTCTATTCGTCTGTACGTGTTGAAAGATAATATCTGATACAAATCACATGATACGTACTAACGTAGTAACTATGTTTAACGTTCCAGTTTGAGTTTAACGGTGTCACATGTGTAGGGCATTTCTGGAAGCTTCTAGGGACAGTTTTGTTATGAGCTTCTTGTGAAATTTTGTCTGCCTACTTTGATCTTTAAGCACAATACAATAAGGTTCGAATCGGCTGTGACTGTGAAAGTTTAATATTGTTAGAACTATCAAGTGTTCTTATCTGTACTTTAATTAATTAATTTGACCTTTATAGCTTATTTATCCTTTTATTTTCAATTATTTATATAGGTATTAGTTTTATTAGACACATTATTCTTCTTAAAAGTTATAGTTATTTTTTTATTATCCACTAAGTTTTATTACATACTAACTTGTCTATAAAATATAAAACTACTTAAACCAAAATTTTCAACTATGCATTATCATTTAATATTTTATCTTACTTTCTAATTCGTCTCTTTTATGATGAATCAAATAGTTGTAAAAAGTAGCATATATATAAACTTTTATCATAACAACGTTCTGTTCAAACGTGAAAGAAGTACAAACAAACACACGTTCTCATTATTTTATTAGTATAGATTATCAGTACTCATAGTTAGTTGTGCGTTACTTGCAGCCCGCCAGGAAACGTTCTCGCCGATGGTTCAAGGTAAAAAAATCTGACGGAGTGGCTGGTTTAGTTTTGAAACGAATGCTTTTCACGTTAAGTGTGTTTTTGTCCTTATCATTATGAGTAGGTTATCAGAGAAAATACAAATCATTTCTTTACTTCATTTTGTGGCAAAAGCTTGCAAGTTTCATACTTTAATTTTTGGTTATTGTTATTTATTTTCTTAATATTGTTTATTTTTTTTTGCTAACATTTCTAATCTTTAGTCTTTACTAGATGTTTTCTTGCGACTTTGCCTGTGTAAATTGTACTCCATGATGTAGTTTTCCATCGTCAAATTAATTAGTGTCCGAACTGAACGTTCGGTTTCGGTTTCGGTCGAGTTTCGGTTTAGCTTCGGTTTCGGTGGCAAACCTACCAAAACTACGACTGAAACCGAAACCGCATTTTTGCGCTGTGATTGATTATATTTGGCGCAGAAATTTACATCCGTGAAAGAAATCCTGCGGCAATGATTGAATTTAAAGTTACAAATCGGCCATATTGTCCTATAATGAAGGGAATTGAGGGGTTGTTTACTATGTTGATTATCATGATGAAAACGCATAAGACTGGATAGCTTTATGATTTAAGAATAAGAAGATAAAGAATTGACTGATTATAAAAACGTTTTCTTTATTTTTCCCCTCAAAATATGATCTTTGTAAGGACGTTTCGGTTTCGGCCGAAACTGAGACCGTTGCCGAAATTCGGTTTTTCGGTTTCGGTTGGAAAAACCAGTTTTGGTCAAACACTAGAATTAATTATTAAAATTGCTTCACTAGTTTTTGAGCCTGGTCAATGCAAAAAAAAAAACCAAAATTCCTCGTTGTATTAGTAATATACCAGTGGCCAACTCTATCAGAGCTAAGATCGATTTTTTACCGACGAATCTTTCTGAGATCTATCAACTTATGTATGTTTCAATGTTAAATCAAACTTGGTTTGATATGGTATTTTTCATTAATAAATATATATTCTTGGCTACTAGTTACTACTTATTTATGATGGCGTATAACTCCCACTATTATTATCTCACATTAATATTATCAGAGTAAGCATCGTACCTGAGAATTTTCCGCTAGTTTTAAAAAGTCAGGTTTGCAGATTGAAACAACTTATTTCAATGAGTTCAAGTATCTGTTAAGCGCGAATGGGGATTACTTTTAATTTGTTTTAAATGTTGACTCACATAAATAATGTTGAAACAAAATATGAATGTTTTTGCCTTGTTGGTATCGACCAAATGGCCTCTCCTGCCTTCCGATTCTTTAAAAATCCAAACCCGAATTCGGGTCCACTCAGGTGCCCGTTATCACTTTAAAAAGCGGCATCCGCTCAATCTTGAATTAGTAATAACATTTCGTGGTATAAGTTAAGTGAGTTTCGAAATGACATAGGGATATAATATCTAAGACACGTAAATTGAAACAATATTGTCTTGTATTCTTATACAAAAAAAAAATGGCAACAATAGAATTTCTACACTAAAAGACGTCAATTCGGACACATGAGTGAATTCGAATTCGGGTCTCGATTTTTACAGAATCGCAGGGCTGGTACAGATTATGTTTCCGCCTTTAATTGTAGGTTATTTAAAAATATGAACACAATTGTTTATTATAAATACTAATAATACGTTATTACTAAGAATATATTATAATAATTATATGAGTCATGTCGTTAGTATATTTTAACCTAACCATGGATGTTCTTTTGATACTCATTTGAGAATGTTACGTTTGTTATTCAGCTTGTTATTGTATGTTTTTGTACTGAATGATTTGTAATAATGGTATGTTATATTGTTTAGGTATATAAGTTTTGAACTTACTTCCGAAGTATTAAAGTTTAAAATCAATTGAAGTGCCAGTTTTGTATAACACGATGTGCTGTTGATTGTGCATATGTTTCTATAGATTTGTGTATATGTCTGCTTATAATTAATTTTTCCTCTACTACACTTTCATAATTAGGTAATATCAATAATGCCAATTATTTATGGGCCTAGTGACATAATTATTACCTTATTGCCTTATCTGTAATTATTTTTCCTCTTATAAAAATAACAAACTACAAAGTAATTAATAATAATAATCTTAACGGCTGCCAGTGTGTAATGATTGTCTGTGTTATTGATATATTAAATCACGTGTTTTAATCGACTTCTGAATTTTTAGGTCGGCAAGTATCATGAGTTCTAAGTCTGCTCCTGGCATCATTATGGCAACAGGTGTGATGGGGAAATCTCTCAAAGGTATTCCAGGCGTATATTTGAGTCGCGACGCCGGCCTCACGTGGAAAAGAATCCTGAAAGACTACTACTTCTTCAATTACGGGGACCACGGGGGCGTGCTTGTAGCTGTCAAATATTTCAAATCCCGAGGCGAAACACGTCGAATACTGTATTCGACTAATGAAGGCATCGAGTGGAACTCTTATCAGTGAGTCATAATGCAACATAATAATTATCACACAATTGGATTGAATTCTATTGCAAGCGATACTATGTAATTTGCAGGTTCAACGACGATGACCTTCGTATATACGGGCTAATGACCGAGCCCGGCGAGAATACGACTACGTTCACTATGTTCGGCTCCGCAAATGATCAGCATCAATGGATCATTATAACTATAGATCTGCGTAACACTTTTGCTCGTAACTGCACCTCTGAAGACTACAAGTTCTGGTCACCTTCTGCGCTCAACTCTTCTGTTTCTTGCGTGTTAGGAGTTAGAGAGACTTATCAAAGGAGATTTGCTCACACTAATTGCTATAACGGTATTGATTACGATAGACCAGTAAAGAAAGAGATATGCGAATGTAGTAGGCGAGATTTCGAATGCGACTTTGGCTTTATGCGACAGGGAAGCGAATGCGTCCGGAATAAAAGTTCTAGTTATGATCCTTACGCTATTCCTGCGAATTGTAAACCGGGCAATTTCTACAAACGCACTAAGGGCTATCGTAAAATTGACGGTGACATTTGCTACAGTTCATCATATTTGCCGTATTTACCTGAACGCATCCCGTGTCCGATCGAAGAGCCAACCGAATTCTTGCTGATCGCTCTAAGAGAGAAAATTGCTCGTATCGACTTAACAGACAATACTACATTAATACCAGTAACGGATCAGAAAAATATCGTGGCTATTGAATTTGATATGAAGAATAACTGTATATACTGGGCCGACATAGAGGCAGACAAAATAAGTCGACAGTGTTACAATAATGGCACCACTCAAGAGATAGTTGTCGATACTGATTTGGCCAGCATCGAGGGCATGGCATTGGATTGGATTTCTAATGTTCTGTTCTTTGTCGATGGCATGAGGAAGAAGATTGAAGCTGTCAGAACAGATCTGACGAACGCCGGGAGAATGAGGCGAACAATTCTAGATTCCAAAGTGTTGTCAAAACCGCGTGGGATAACGGTACATCCTAAAGCCGGGTATTTGTTTTGGACCGATTGGGATAGACTCCACCCTTCTATTTCTAGGTCTAATCTCGATGGATCTCAAGTGAAGAAACTTTTTGGGAAGCCTATAGTCCAATGGCCGAACGGCATCACTATAGATCAAATGTCGGAAAGAATTTATTGGGTTGACGCTATGGAAGATTACATAGCGAGTGCAGATTTGAACGGTCAATATTTCAAGAGGATTTTGTGGAATGACGAGACTGTTACACATCCGTTCGCAGTAGCGGTGCTCAAGGATAAAATGTATTGGGACGATTGGAAAGCGAAGTCTATTTTCGTCGCAGATAAGAATACCGGAATGGATATACTGACAGTTAATGATTCTTTTACTGGTTTGATGGATTTGAAAGTGTTTGCACATTTTATGCAACAAGGTACAAATGCTTGCACGAACAACACTAAGTGCGATTCTCTCTGCCTCGGTATGCCCGGGGGTGGTCATAGTTGTCTCTGCCCGGATGGTTTCACTATGGTCAACGGGAAATGTATGTGTCCGAACGGTGAACAGCCCGCTGCTAATTTCACTTGTCCGAAGAAACCTGGTCTTACGTGTGGACCGGTAAGTTTGTCTTGAATTTTAATCGACGAAGGGATAAAAGCGGTATAGTGGTATGCTGATAAGGAACCTAACAAACATTTCTTACGAGTAGATTTAATTAAATTGTAATATCGATAGTGGCCACATGGATATATGGTCCGTTACAGTAATGGTTTGGAACAATATTAATAAGTTGTTAAAAGAAGGACGAAGTACAATAAATAGCCTTTGTCGAGTTTCTTATCGGCATCCCGCTTGATAACGTTTTCAGTTTTAAGATACACCAGTAGTTGATTCTGTACGTTTTATATTCGTAATATTTCAGGATCAATTTACTTGTAAAAATGGCCTTTGTATAACTTCGACGTGGCGTTGCGACGGCAACAATGACTGCGGGGATCTTTCCGACGAGGTTGGGTGTTTATGCACTCCACCGATGATACCCTGCGACGATACACGCTGTTATCTGCCACATTGGAAGTGCGACGGTGACATCGACTGCGCGGACATGAGTGATGAAAAAGGTATATAGGTATACAATGAATGAATGAATGACTATTATTTCTACATAGCATAAGTAATACAAGGATAACTAATTAAAATAAATATTTAAGGGCTTTTCCATTCCACGAACCTTTTTTGCGCAAATCCGACTAGCACTTGACCGGCTTTTGTGTTTCCATCTCAACACATAAAACAATGAATAAAAGTCGTTCTTCAAATTCTGAATGCGATTTGAAATGGCTAGTTAATCCGTTTGCCATATAAATAAGATCTTTTGAGAGTATATAAATGATATCAAAGAATAAGGATAACTAATGTGTTTTCCTGCTTTTGGTTAAAACAGTTTTTTTTAAATAACAAGACAACAAAACTATTTGGTTAGGTTCGTGCAGTTACTATTAATTGTTTGTTTAAAATGTTCTCTTTGTAGGTATAGATATAGTTTATACACTCGTAACCATATTGCTACCATTTTATTGGTCGGCGATATAAAGGTGTTAAGTAAATTTTTGGTCAAAATGACTTATGTCAATAGAAATATGTAGAAAAAATATTTGCTTTCGAATAGTACAATTAGCATAAGTCTATTGCGTATATTAATAGAGATATTAACTATTTTAAATTCTATTCATTTCCAGTCTTTCTGTGGAAATTTTTGTAACTTTTTTTTGCTCCTGAACCGCCGACCAAAGATATTTTTAAACTGTTTCAATTGTTTATGAGCTTAACTATCAATGTATTTTTATATTACCCCAATTTAGCAATTGTGGGAAAATTACTGTTTTATACCTTAACTCAGACGTGTCGAGAACACGTCTGAGTTTAGGTATAAAACAGTAAAGTTATAAGGATATTTCCTTAAAATAATAATGTTTTCAGATTGCGACCATCACAATTGTTCCGAGAATCAATTCCAATGTGCGAACGGGCACTGCATAGAGAAACGTTGGGTCTGTGATGGGGATAACGATTGCAGAGATGGATCCGATGAACGAAATTGCACTGTAAGTGTACCTGTTTAAGGTTTGCAATAGATTGTTTACGTTATTTTTCTTTGAGTGGAAATGACAGATCCTTTAGGGTTATTTTCGTATTTGCCTGGCCGTTCGATTCGTAAAAAGTATTGTAGCTTAAAAATGAAATAAAAAATAATACTTTATTTTTAGATTACAATAAAAGCTATCAGTGTTATTAATAAACAAGTTTTAGGGTTGGAATAAATTTACGCTTAGACTGCACTTAGTATTAGTCAAAATTCGTATTTATTAAATAAAGACTTAGCAAAGTTTAACCTAGTGCGAGTTTCTGCAAGAGAAATATTAATTCCTAGAAGGTATTAGTTTTGCTTATGATGTGTAATATGAATTAGCACTAATACTGAAATTGCAATTTTAGCGTAAATTTATTCTGACGCTAAACCTTGTTTATTAATAGCACTGTATAAGAATTATATGGCTTTTGAAATTGTATGTTTGTAAAGGGCCGTTGTTTTTAGTTTGACAGTTTTATATAAAAAATGGCTATTACGGATATTGTAATAAAACAGGCTTTCTTCACTTTTTATAATATCAATAATTATAAAAAGTGAAGAAAGCCTGTTAGGTTGCCTGTTGTTGCCTGGTTAGGTTAGGTTAGTAATAGTGTTCAGTAATAAATTATACGGTAGTTGATTTACCGATAATATCTCAACCTTCACGCTATGAGTTATGGTTTAATTTATTTTACAGCTAACTCCCATAATACCGATAGAAGGTGGCAGTTTAAATTGCTCCGCGGATAGTTTTGCATGCAACAACGACAGCTCAAGACATTGTATACCCAATTCTTGGGTGTGCGACGGAGAGAGAGATTGTTTCGGCGGTGAGGATGAGAAGGACGAGAAATGCAAGCATTCCACTTGCGCGCCGTATATGTTCAGATGTCCCAGTGGAAAGTGTATATTCAAATCTTGGGTGGGTATTTTAAAAAAAATCTGCTTATTTCATTAATAAATCAAATCAAAATATTGCTGTCATCTGATACTAAGTATTTGCTGGCTTCATTTAAAAATTGAATAGTATTTGTATGACTATAAAATATGTCTTCTTATAAGAATCGCATAAGCTTTTACAACCAGGTGCCAAGACGGGATACAATTTTTTCCGACTGGCCAACCGCCCCCCTCATTACAAACGACTTCCCCAATATTTTTTTTACATAATTTAGAGAGATATATATGAATTTCTTTTTTTATCTGTATTATATTATCGTGATATTGGCGGCCTCCTGTCACTGGCGCCCCCCGGATCCGGGTCGGCCAGGTGCCATTTTAGATTTTATCTATCATCTTCAAGAATTGTTACAATTTTTTTATTCAAATTATGTACATCTCACGGAACCGTTTTCATATAGTAATTTATGTTCATATAAAAGAAATACCTTAAATAATTTTGAAATGGTAAATTTAATCTGCAACAACCGGGGGAAGCCCGTTTTCTATCGCTATAGTTGACGATTGTCATTTACTCATACAGTTCTCGGAAGTAATCTTTTTGGACTCTAGTACCTATCCTAGCTAATTGTGTATTTGTTGTTAATTTAAAACAAGATGTGCGACGGTGAGAACGACTGCGGTGACGCAGAAGAATCCGACGAGAAGAATTGTACAGCGAACACTAACACGAAGCTGATACCCCGCCCTACCACGGAGAAGATAGACTTTCCAATGAACTGTCTCGATTGGATGTTTCGTTGTGATAACGGCAACTGTCTACCGTACTGGTGGAGATGCGACGGCATAGACGATTGCGGAGACCATTCCGACGAGATGGGGTGTGGCGTCATCACCACGGAGACCACCCCAGCGCCGCCCGATCATCCGATGAAGAAGAACAAGTGTGGCAAGAGTCAGTTCACGTGTTCACCAGGTAAGTGGTCTAGAAGTATATATAAAAAAAAAAAAAACAGTACCCTTAGCCCATATTATTTTTTACATTCATTTTTATATGCAAACGTTATCTGTACAATTACACAATCTTTTTTTTGTATTTATTTTACATTATTTTTTTTATCTTTGCAGAAATTCTTTTTGAATATAATTTTATGGATTTATGCAAATGTGTGACTAACATTATTTTTCTTTTTATTCTTATTTTTTATGGGCTTTTGAACTTAGTGTTCATGTCAGCCCATAAGACTAACATTATAAAAAAGAAAGAGATTTCACCTTTATATTTTACACTAACTGTCTAAATTTAATGGAAATTTCGGAAAGAGTTTCACGGTAGTATGCGGTAGTACGCAATGGATCATCCTTCTAGTGAATATCATATACAACGTGTAAAAGAAATAACGCACATCCTTATACCATGCATTTATAATATAATATAACGAAAATTGGAATTTTACTTTTATGTACTAAACATTATTTATGTATGGACACTGTTATACTAATTGCTGGGTAACAAAGTGGACATCTTACAAATCCATACAATGATGTCAAAATTACGGCTTAACCTGCAACTGTACTCCATTCATTATAGCATTAGACAGAAGTTAAATAAGGTTCTTTTTATGGTATACTTTGTGACAAAATATCAATAATCATGTTATTCTTAAGTCTGACGGCTAATTTGCTACATATCCACTTAAATACCAGCTGCTATACTTAACCGTTGTCGTTTAAGCTATATATAAAACAAATTTAAGAGTATTTGACTAACTTAAATGATTTAATAACTAGTACAATAAAAAGTGTTTATCTTAAAGAACCTAAAGAAGCAGGTTGAATAGTTTAGGCATGATTCTCATGTCACTATAACTCTATCAAATTTAAAACGTTGCCTAATCCCTTCAAACGTTTCGGCAGTACAACCTGCCAATAAAAAATTTCGATACGAAATATTATTCTGTTTCGAGATTCAAAGTTTTTTTAAGTTTAGACAATTATGATTCTTACTTGTTATGAGTATCGGCTAGCATAGTCTTGGGATCACATATCACACGGCGAGCACAGTATCACTACATTGTGCCTAACCCTTAAACAAGCATGTATTTACTGTGCGTTAGTGCAACGAAGAATCATCGCATGTGAAAATAAAATTAAATTGCGATAAAATAATCATCCACTGCCACTGTCGTGTTTGTCACATATGTCATGATTATTTGTAGTATATTATTTTTCTCTTTCTTTATGAATTATTTTACTCTTTGGTTTATATGAACTCGTGCATAGCGTTTAAGAGCATTTTAGACTCAAGACATATTAAAAAAAGTTCATTTTTCTTTGTTTTTTCCTCTCAGACCAAATAAAAAGTATAGACGGAATTTCGCCTAACAGAAAAGTGAAGCCGACAAAACTACGCCTCGGCGTATTCGTACACAGTTTCACGCACACATACATAACGAAACTACGCCTTCCTTATCAGTCTAACTAAGACAGTGTCCGGAACGTTTCATTATAAAAAAAATCAAAAATTTCTTAATAACTGCCGAATTGTGTAGTAAAAGGTTGTAAAAACCAATCCTCCAAAAATAAAAAGCAGGATGGAATCACATTTCACACATAAGTATTGGAAAAAACTTACATTTTCAGTAATTCAAAAATTAAATTTAAGTAATAGCTTGGAACACAAAACCTCAGCCAAATACTACCATCGTTAAACGTTATTATTTACCCCGAAATCGAGCAACTTTATTTTATAACGCGTTATTTCTAACAAAACACAAATTACGTTATGTATTTGTTTCTTGTTGTATGGAAATTATATTAAATAAATTTTGCATTCAAAATGCTACATAGAGGTCCAGATCACAGATACTGAGAATAAGGAAGTAAAAAATAAAAAAATGGGTTTAATTTTTACTTCTTTATTTTTACTAAACGGGTTTGCATACATTTTTTCATTTTCAAACCGACATCAAAATGTGAAAGAGAAGTGGGTTTCAGTCATTCGTAATAGTCGAAATGAACCGTCGAATAAAGCAAAACTCATATCCACAGGTTTCAAAATTTCTATATATTAAAATTTTAGTTAACATAGTGGAAGTTTTCAAACTCAACTTAAAAATTAATTAAATAGTCTCTCTAATGTATGGCCTCCAATAATAATTACCTACTCTTAAAGATTTTAGAATATCTATGCTGATATTGACAAACGAATTTACATTATATTATTAAATAGCATAGCGTTAACGTTAACTTTATAACGTCGTAACGTTAAGTTATTAGGGTGTTTTTGATGACTATGGTCACACTGGCACGCACACTACAATTGCTAAAAATCGGCTTCACTTTGTTATTCAGCGAACTCCGTCTTTACTTTTTATTTGGTCTGAGTTTTTCCTATGTTATATTTTATTACAATATAGTGCATTAAAAAAAGCCTTAATACATCCACTTAAGTTTATTTTTTGTTTGTGACGGCTTTAATGGTTACAGGTGACCATTATCTACTTGATTCATATTAAATTTAGTAAAAAAATTACCCTTATTAGAAGTTGATGAAATCGAATCAGTATCTGATTTTAAACAAATTACTTTCAGAGTTTGCGTTAATTATGTTACATGTTGTGTATGTCTAGTTGATCCCTGACCCCTAGTCTACTTCTTGTCGTTCTACTATAGCTTATCATATAATTAATGTGTGATGGGAGTGAAATCATTCCACATAATAAAAATTAATTACTAGGTTTTCCCGCACCTTTGGTCGTTTGACTGCTTCTAAATTGAATAGTTTTATAGGTGTATGTATACCGTTGTCGTGGGTGTGCGATCGTCGCGAAGATTGCACGGACGGCTCGGACGAGGTCGGCTGCGAGCGTCAGACTCGGCCGCCTTCGGGCGGACACGCGTGCGCGCCCGACGAGAGCCAGTGCTCGGACGGCCGGGGGTGTGTCAAAGACGAACACATATGCGACGGTGTTGCTCACTGCGCGGACGGCAGCGATGAAGCTTTATGCAACCCTATTGTGAGTATACACTGCTCGTTCGAGGAGTTTCTGCAAAGTACTGCGTGCAAAAAAAGTATCGTGAGTATACACTGCTCGTTCGAGGAGTTTCTGCAAAGTACTGCGTGCAAAAAAGTTGTGCGCGATAGCGTGATTGCGCGGTAAGCGCGTCTAATTAATACAATTGGTGAATTGTGAAAATGAATGTTCAGAAAATAATTTAAATAGTTCTATTTCGATGGAAAAAAAACAAAAATATATCATTATGAGTTATTTTTTAATACAATTTTTCGTTTATTTTAGACATAGCACTTTTATTGTAATTTTCTAATTCAATCTCTGTAATCTTAAACAGCAGCATGAGAATTTTCATTCATTAATACCGACAAAATACGTCGAAAATTTAATAGCTCAAAGATGCGTATAAAACGCTATCTGTTATACTGTCACTACTGAAAGGTGATGGCGGTATATCACGCGAAGGGTATTTAGTTCCGAGCCAGGTGTCATTTCAACTTGCATGAGTAGTAGTAAAAAATCTATTTACTAATGTCTTGTGCGCCCGACGCCCCTAAATTTCGCTGGCTAAAGATGAACCAAAACTTTAACCGCAATTATGGTGCAACTGAGGCTAATAAAAGTAAAAGAAGAGAGCAAGTCGGACTGGCGCATTATCTATAAAAAAAATTGAAAAATCACGTTTGTTGTATGGGAGCCCCCCTTAAATATTTGTCTTATTCTGTTATTATAGCGGCAACAGACATATATACAGACATATTATGTGAAATGCTTAACTGTTTATGAGATACAGCCTGATGGCAGCAGGACTGACAGACAGACAGTTAGATAGACGGACGGACATCGGAGTCTTAACAATTGGGTCCTGTTTTGCCCTTTTGGTACGAAACCCTAAAAATTTCTTATATAAATGATGGTTAATTTGTTCAAGAAACGTCCCGTGACAGTCACTAGTGTAATAATAAACATAATTTTTTTATTGTAATATTGCCAGGGTCACAAACCGTCAGTTACGTGTTCGGGGACGGACTGGTTCTTGTGCGACGACGGCGCCCTCTGTATACCGCGTGTGAAAGTTTGCGATGGACAACAGAACTGTTACGACGAGACCGATGAATCAAACTGCACCAATACAGATTCGCACCCTGCGCAACAAGTAAAAAAACTTAACTTTATTTGTTCTTTGTACTATATTTGATTAATTTTGCATTCACAATGCTATACAAATTTGTTTAAGAATTGTATCTTATGCCGTTACTTATTGGCTCATTCTTAATTATTGTCATTGGTATAATGAACAAAAGGTGATAATGTGGTTCTAAAGATATTGACAGCGAATTTTGCATTTATAATTTTGATACATATGTGATAGAAAACTTGTAGCAAGATTATTTTGGTCTTTTGGTTAAGTTAGTTGAAGGAGCATTCGCCCCGTTAGTGAGAGATCACTGGTTCGAGCATTTGCAGTGTTGATTTTTGATAAGTACTTTTTTTAAGATAAATATAGTCAATATTGTTAACGAGTTCATGGTAAAATATTGCTATGTGGTAAAAAGTCCAAGCTGTCATATACTAGTTGGGGATATGCTGGACTATAATATCACATCTTATTGAGTGTGTATTATATATTCATCTCGAGCTTCTACGTGCAACATCTGAGTCCTCGAAATAGAGCAGTCCGATTCTGAATCGCGACCAGCACGCCTAGCATGGCGAACCCGAGAACGTTTTGTCTACACTCAAATGTCACATTTCTCGGGTGCGCCCATACTATATCTCGCTCTCGACCCGAGAAACTGACAAATGAGTGTAGCCAAAGCGTTTCTCGAGTTTGTCATGCTACGCGTGCTGAGGTTATGAAACGCTGGTCTAGACAAAAGCGGCATTAATTGCAAATTCAAAGACATTAACTGTGATATTAACATTTGTTTTAGCTGATCAGCATTGGAGTGGATCACTCGTCTTTGAATTCAACAAGTTTCCTGGTGTCTTGTTGGATGCCGCAACAGAAGATGGTGACGTACAGTTTCTTGCCGTCCATCGCTAAGGTCTCTGATGGTGTTTGGAAGAATATGACCTGGTCTAATGACAGTATTTACAGGTGAGTTTTCGATGCCCTTGACTCATAATCACCAGACACGCGTTTTACTGACTGCAACGTTTCATTTTGATATAGTAAATAGTGACAACCCTGTTGGCGTTAAATTTAGTATGAATCCTGTTAAATTGACTATTTGAAAGTTGTAACAATACATTATGACATATGTTGGAAATGAACTAATATGTGAACAATAACTATAGTATTTTTTGTTTTGAAATAAATTGTAAGCATATTTTATTTTTGCAATATTAACTTCAGATTTAGTATCTCTGGATTACAAGAACAAAAAGCGTGTGACGTCACATTTCAATAATTTAGTTTATTTAGATTTATTTAGATAAAAAATTGTTATCTCTTTCTACTTAACCCTTTAATTCACCGAAAACTAAAACAATTGTTTCTTTTTGTATATATATGACAAAACGAGGAAATACATTCACTTCTTGTCGTTTTTTCTTAGTACAAGGTCGCCAGCAGTAGATTTGCAAACTGATAGCATAGTTTTCGACTTCAACAATTACTTGTTAACAGCGTAGATTAAATAAACAATATTGATTTGTGTAACACAATAAAACACAAGGTTTGTTTTATAATTTTTCATTTACTCAAGGTATTTACTCAAGTATACTTTAAAAAAAAATATATTTGTAGATATTTCCCAAGTTACATGTAGAGTTTTTTTCTAAATCCCAACATAAATGGTAGTAATTCTAATAGTATGTTCTTCTACAGATTCACTGGCTTGGACCCGTACACGAATTATAATGTCACATTTTACATTAAAGATAGCAAGTCGAATAGGACTTATGCGTCAATGAAATTTGAGAACACCACCACCGGGGAAGGAGGTAAGGATTCGCCCTTGCTTATGAATTTGAATATTTTTTCTAAATAACAATTATATATTTATATTTTAAAATTCTTAAAATAAAAATATAATTTTTCGATATTTTTAGTCTGTGTCTCATGATGAATAATTTTATAAATCGGTCCAGTAGTTTTGAGCCTTTTGAATGGAAACAAACAAGCAAATCTTGATTTTTTTAAATATAAGGAATTAAGCAGATAATGACTTTTCTGTTCACCGTACAATCATATAAATGAAGTGTTGTTAAATGGCAATACACAAAAATATCTTGTAGAAACATTCCAGAAAATTTAAACATTCTTAGGTGCCTTAGATGGGATTCGAATCCGTAACTTAAACTTAATTGTAGGAAAAATACATGTGTACTGATCGCAAAGTTACCCTGCATAAGATAAAATATAATTCATATCGATTTGATAATTCAGTGCCATCTCCTCCGCAACGCTTGACGGTCCGTCAGCTAATCGGCAGCAGAGTCCAACTGCTATGGGACCCACCGAAAAATCCCAACGGTGTAATACAGTATTACACGGTGTATTACGCCCCACCACTGCCGCCGATACAGAACAACATACCGGCCATCGATAAGAAGACAGTCGCCGTCACTATCAAAGGATACTTCAAGCCGCTCAACAATTACTCGTTCTGGGTGAGTGTAGTGAACTTGGATCGTTTTGAATTTCACTCGTTTTAATATCCCTTTGAAATTATTTTACTCACACTAGCGACCTGCTGGTCTGTATGCAACTTTATTGACTTCATACAATTTGCATCAGATTGAATCGATTTTTTATGTACCGGGCAAATGCCTTAACATAGTCCTTGCTGCCTGGCGAGAGACAAGGGGGGGGGGTCTTATCCCTCATCGAAAGCCTACCCACCGAAACCTCTACTGTGTATCCTCTGCTAGAAAAATAAGAACTGAAGGTTCTTATATCTTTTTCAGAGGGTCTTTTGGGGGGGGGGGGGTTAAGGGAAGATAATATTAGGAATCTAATAGCCAGCTTTTTGAAAAGTCGTTGTCACGCCCACTCTTACTAAAGAGTAAATAATGTTGGCGTCTGTGCAGCCGTTTTACTATAAATATCTGGACGGAGCTTTCTGAACGCTTTAATGGACCGATTAAGGCGTATAAGTACCGAAAATTTGAGCCCCTAACCTAACCTAGATACTGTTTAGAAGTTATTTATCATAATATTTTTTTTTAATAATAAAGGTGACAGCGACAAACAATGCCTTCACGTCTAACTCGTCTGAGGTATCGTACATCACGTTCGAAAACAGCGGCGACGTGGACGATCTAGCTAACGTCAGTCTGTCCCGGCCCACGCCCACTTCAGTGTTTCTATCGTGGCATAAGATACGTGGCGTAGAAGGATATAAGGTTCAAATTAGATTGCCGCCCAACTATGCAAAGAGAGAAGTCGTCGACACCAAGGACTGTAATGTCACGTGTAAGTGGTATTTAATTTACAACTAAATAGTAATATTAAAAGGTGGTATATTATATTGAATATTTAAAAGTCTTGCTTGTGAATCATGACAAATACGCAAGACTGTTCGCAAGTATGGCCATAACTTTAAAATATATATATTTAAATTCTATTTCACTATAAAATTCCAATATTGGTTGTTGGTCGATGAAATCCTTGTATACTAATAATTGGCTGATGTCTGAGTAAAAAAAAAAACTATTAACTGTGTCAGTCACATAAAAGAAAAATATTAGATACATATTTTTTATTACTTCAATTTAACAAGAAATAGCTTACATAACAGGCGTTAAAGTTGAGGAGTGGGGGAGTGTATCGCCGTAATTTAGTGATTATGCAATAAATTAAAAAAATACGTGTTTAATATTTTTCAACAAACTACCTGAAGGATAGACAAAAAATTGAAGTCGTCATCCTTATTGATATGGCGTATAGTCTAATTAGAGTCAGGTCCAATATATTACATTGGGTGTTCATTATCACGTGACTCACGTTTTGGATAGTGACTTAGAAACAATAATTCTCAATCAAATTTTCTTTAAATATAATTAACATCCTTATTGTGTAAAATTCATATAAATATAAAATTATTCGTTTATTTATTCAGTACAAGTATATTAAACCTTAAAATCTGATCGTTAAGTTTCATATTTCAGTGAATGACCTACCGCCAGGCGTTTCTATGTTCATCGATATCCGCGCGTACAAAGGTCCAGTTGTAGGCGTCCCATTCACTATCCCGACTAACACGAGCGGTGTACCCGACGAGACTTTGAATCTAACAGCCAAACTGTTGAAGGACAGAGCTGCTTCGGTGCAGTTGTCATGGTTACCGCCCACCGGTGAAAGATATAAGAACAAGACGCTCAGTTATGAAGTACATTATACTAATGTTGTGAGCGGAGTGCGGTACGGAGAATTAGTTAACGGTAAGTGTGTTTACTTTTTCTGTTAATAACCTAATAGTATGAAAGAGACAGAAGAGAATAGTATGCGGAATGTGTGAGAGGCATGAAAGAAGGTGGGAGCAGTTAGCATAAAAATATCATTTAATAAAAAAAAAGAAAATGAATGACAGTGACTGATAATATTTTCCTTTTTTAAGTCTTTTATAATTTCGCTGTACTACGAATAAACATGATACCAGCGGTGATATTCTGTAATACATACAGCCAGCACTCGACCATGAGAACATCGCTGGCATGGCATTGAGGTTCAATCAAATATAACCTACGCCAAAAGGAAAATTAAATATGTTTTATTTTATTGAATTTCTATACCAGGGGTGGCCAACTTGTTTAGACCTAAGATCAACTTTTCATTAACGACACCCAGTACGATCTACCAATTACTTTACTTCTTAAAATCTTAAATGAAACAGCATAGTACACAATTATGTCAAATCAAATCAAATAAAAAAAATTATTGGCCATATGACTCAGAAGGTTACACTCGGCAAGTCTTTTACAATAAGCTTTTAAAATTAAATATAAGGATTTAAATCATGCAGGTCATATCATTGTAAGTAGAAATGTCAAATAAATCAAGTATTTTAACAATGTCAAAATGATTATTTTTCCGATCCTTAATAATCAATTATATCATAGTCAATTAAATTACAATATTACAAATTAATTTATATATATATATATATATATATATTATCACAAATTAGATTATACAAACATATAGGTAATATATAATTTTATGTCATAAAATATTGATGATTATTATATCTTGTCATCTACCATAGAGATTTAGTCAATTATCCATCTTGTAGAAATGAATATTCTTTCAAACGCATACACATAAATTCATTTAAAGAGTATAAGGGATGCTGAATAAAAAATGTTTTATTGTTCTTTCGAATTCGTCATTACTCATGTTTGTTATACTGAGGGGAAGTTTATTATACATTCTAATTTTATTATACATGCCTTGTTTTTGTACCTTTGCCAATCTTGTTCTAGGCAAACACAATCGTTCCTTATTACGTAAATTATAGCTATGGATGTCCATCTTTCTCAAATGTGAATCCCGTTCATGGTGTATTTCTATTAAACATTTGTAAATGTATAAAGAAATAATTGTCATTATTTTATTTTGTTTAAAATAAGGTTTGGCTGACGTACGTAAGTACGTACGTATAAATGGTTTGCGCAAACCATTCATAATTCATTATGACCTTTTTTGGCATTTTAGTACACGATTTATATCAGAAGCATTTCCCCAGACTGTCACCGCAGAACTTAATAGGGAGTGCACATAAGCATAATACACTGTCATTAATGTTTTTTTATTGGTTACGGGCTTCAGTTTTTGTAGTAGCATTTTGATTTTATTTATATTTTTTGAATTGCCACGATCGACTGGACTAATAATCTATCGCGATTGACTGGTTGGCCACCCATGCTCTATACAGCGCTGTGCTATGATTTGATTTTATTACAGAATAGCATTACAAAAGGCCTATTCTATTTCTCCTAAAACGAAATGTCTATTTTTGTAATGCTAAAACGAAACATTTTCGATAATTTATGTTACAATGGAGATAGGAATTAATACTGCCTCTGGTACAGAGATAATCTTCAAGGAAACCATTTTAAAACATTTAACAAAATCTTTAAATTCCATACGTAATACACACAACCACCCGTACCTTTTTTAAATATTTTTTTTATTGCCCGGCTTTACATAATTGGCCGAGCTTCGTACCGCTCCCCACTTAGTAGCAGGCTGTTATTATTCGACTTTCTCTTTCATTCCAGTTCTATCATTTATCTCAACCTTCCATTCTTCATACTGTATCTTTCTTATATTCATCTCTTCCATAATTCGAGCAACTGGGATTGTTGCATCTATAACTCTTCTAATTTTTTGTTTACTTGTTTATTTTATTTCCAAATAATTACACTATTTCTTTTTATTTATCTTATATCTAATTACATTTTTGTTAAATTCTATTCTATTTGTCTTAATATTCTATTTCCATTTTTAACCTTATATACTATGTTTTTATCATCTATGTGACATAACTTTGTTTTACTTATTTCTGAATTACATTCTCTTGTATTCCAATTTTGGTACTATTTTACATCCTTTTATTTATACTATACATTTCTTTTCACTATTCTTATGACATATCATGGTTATTTGTGTTGCTTTTTACATTTCATACATGATCTTAATCTATATTTTTATATAATTTCTATTTATATGCTGTGTTACATTATTTCTATTCTACTTAATCTATTCTGTTTTTATTTTCTTTTCATTAATTTTTATCTTAATCTACTTAATCTATTACATTGTTTTAATTTTGTGCCCCTTGTGTTATTCCTAATTTTCCTATTTTCAGTATTTTTTATTGTTTTTATTTATTTATTATCTTCTACTGTATATTTATGTTTAGTCCGAGTTTTCCTTATTTGTTTTATATTTCTAATTATTTTAATAGTAGAACACTTGAATATATGTTATTCATATATTTCTGTGTTCTTTACCTTTGTTAGTTAGGGATGTTCTATATGAAGCGCAGTCGGTACAAATTCCACAATGTATGTATAGTGGCAGATAAGGGGCCTATTCTAATTAATTAGGTGTCGTGTTTCTCAGTACGAGTTATAATTGACATTTGTATACTCTGTGAACAGATACGAAAATAGAGACCGCTCAGACTAGCATCCAGGTGGACGGGCTGAACTTCTGTCAGAGTTACGTGTTCACTGTTGGATTACTCGGTGGACCGCTGTCGAGGTTCGCCGAAATACTCATCAGGGAGGATCCTAAGTAAGAGAAGTGCATATTTGTATAACTTAATACGGCACATATACAGCAGTAGCTGCAGAGCGCGTTCGATCTGTGATGCGGAAGTTAAGCAACTTTCGGAAGGGCCGGACATGGGATGGGTGACCGAAAGTTATCATAAGGTCCTTCGAACTGCGAAAGGCACGTTGGTCCCTGCCTGCATCAGCATGCGCAGTAGCAGCAGCGTTAATGGCCCGTGATTCCCACGGTGAAAGTTAGATTGGTTTTGAAACATAAGTTGGTTAAACATTGAAAAATTAATTTTATTCATAAACGCACAAGGTTTCTAATAATATGACTACTTTCAGGGCACCCGTGAAGAATCTCCACGCCGATTACGATGAGAAGACGAAAAAACTAAACATCCAATGGAACGCTAACTGCGACTACCTTAGTGATCCAGTCACATATTTAGTGAGTATCTTTTGTCGTAATTTATATTGAAATTTCCAACAGTTCTTAACCTTTCTGAATGCTCCAAAATATAAATATTTTTGAAGGACTTAGGGTATGTTCCGATATATACTGCGACCACTGAACAGTATGACGTCAATTTAGTATACTGGAAGCCCGTTCCTTTATAGCTAGTTATACTGGTGACTTTTTAAAACGGAACGCAGTCCAGTATACTGTTAATCCTATTTATTGGCGCCATTTTCAAATTTGTTAATGCAAGGTGAATATAAATATAAAGATTCTCTCGTTTCAAAAGAAAACATTATGAAATTGGAAAATTGTATAAAAAAAATATTTATCCATCTTATAATAAACGTAAGTATTTTTTTATTTAGAAACTTATCATTTTCTGATTCTGTTTCGACTGATCACGTGATCAAAAGCACTGCGAGCACCTTACCTCGAAATCTCCAGTGCTCACAGTACAAACATGGCGGCAATTTATGACGTCATAAATTTCCCTAGGGTACTGTAGCAGTGTACTTGCAGTCCATAACGGAAAGTATTTTTTAGCAGTAAGACCACTGCGCAGTGCTCGCAGTGTATATCGGAACATACCCTTAAACCTGACCCTTTATGTATCTTTAAGTGATAATAAAACCACAATTTTTATTAAATGTGACGTGACAGTTATAGATTTTTTTTTGAATTTTTAACTCAATAGACGATAAATGACCCGAGATATTGGTTTTAGTGCCATTAATAGACTTCTTCTATTTCGATATATAGATATAGATTCGATTTGTTATTTCTTTCTACAAATTTACTGTGAGTTACGATTTATGGGTTTATAATTTAATGACAATTTTATATGTTCTGCTCTCTAACGTTTCAGTTCTTGTTTGCGTCTTCTTCGACTAGCAGTAGCATTAACAGCTCCTATATATGAAGTCATATTAATAATAATAATAATAAATTTCTTGCATGTCACGTACTATACAATTACAGTAAACTGAACCAGATAACCGCTAATGATAAGACCTCAAATTTTATTAAGTGTATTTCGAAAGACACTTGGATGCATATTTACTAAATTGGTCGGTTAGGTTACTATAGTGTTCAAATTGTCATCAGAATGATATATTATACTCTTCTCTAGTTGGACGTTACCGAGTTGACTCAAGATAAGACTAGCAGCTACGAATTGTTGCCGACGAAGAATGCAGCACTCAGCCACGTAATAGAAAATGTACCTCTCGGTGGAAGATTCAATATTTGCGTACAGGTGAGTGGAACGATTGATATTACTGGCTATGTGATCTTTATGATCTATATACCCTTAACCAAATAAGAGGTCCTTTTTGACATTTCAAAAAGAAGATAGAACATAACGTTGTAAGAAATCAACCTAATAGGAAAGAAATTATTTTCAAGTAATGTGATAAAAAGATAGCACATATTTAAAATAAAAGCATCGCAAAACATTCATTGATATTATTATAATAAAAATATATATTTATTTTAATTACCGTTCAATGTTCCAAAAATACTTAAGTCCTAGATTCTTTTTTTTCTTAAAAATGGGATTAAGATGAATAGTTTTAATTTCATGTCGGATACTATACAAATTAGGTATTACACTTATTTAAATATATTTAATAAAACTTTAACTGAAAAAGCTAGTTAAATGTCAACTTTAGTAATTGTTTTGCCTTTATTGTCGATCGAATAAAATTTAAAAATACTTTAGCATCGAGCCTATTCCTTAAACTTAACATGTTACAATTTTGATTTTAATATAGAAATAATTACCGTCATAAGATTCTTACCTACAATGATTTTAAAATTAACTTTGATATTATTGAGTTTTTTTTTCAATATGAAATTCTACCGCTTTTCGTTTAAATTATCATTTTAAAATCTACAGGCGCGTCTTATTAATATACTTCCAGCTCAATTTGTGGTGTGAGGAATTTTTTAATTTTGCGTTTCGTTATTGTCTCTTGTTCACTCGGTCGGTTTGATTAATGAATTACGCTCAATGAGTTTTTGTACTTTTACCAGTCTACGGTGAGTGGGTCCGCGTCTCGCTGCGTGCGGGCCCGCAGCGGCGCGGCGGCGGGCCCGCGCGGGGTGGTCGCCTGGCGGGCCCCCACCGGACACGTGGTCGTGCGCTGGCAGGATATAGAAAAGCATCAACAACAACAGTACGTACTACACTGTCTGTCTCACGGTATAAGTGCCACGGCAATAGGGATGACGGTTGAAAGATTAAAAATATTAGATACTTTTTTTTTACATCAATTTACTAAGAAATATCCTTGGAGTAGCTCGGTGGAGTAATAGATAAGCGCCGCGGCCCGCGATCGTTGACGTTAAGCAACTTACGCAAAGGATGGGTGACCAAAAATTATCTCGGGTGCATTTGCAGTCGTTAATACCTTCCAATTCGCATTGGGCTAGCGTGGATGGTCATGCCCCATCCTCCTTACCCATCCATAAGGCCTGAGCTTCTGCAGTAGGGACGTATTCGTGGATATTAACGTCCTGTAGATGCAGCCGGGACCAAAGGGGTTTTAACAGTTTTTGTATGTAACAAAGACATTGAGTCCCGTAAGATATTTTGAAATGCAGCTTACAAATTACACCGGTAAATAAAGCACACAGTGCTTGTTTCGACTTAAATATATCTCAAATATAAAAAGTTACAAAAATAAATAGATGAGTTAAAAAGAAAAATTCAATCATTAAGCTGATAGAATTCTTATCACATTTTATTTCAATGGCATAATCGTGTTATTATATGGATCTATTTATGAAAACCGTTTATAATATATAGAGATTAATACATGTAAAAGTGAAGCAGCCTTTGGTGTGTTCCTTTTTAAAGCGTGGTGTTGCAAGCAAGCAATATTTTGATACAATTTTACAACATATCCGCAGCAACAACAACAAATACCAAGTGATAGTGTCACAAAAGGAGATCCCCGAGGACTTGACGCGTCCCACTGACGACATGAAGACGGCCGTGGCGGAGTTTTCGCCGGTGCTGATGACGTCACCGGAGGGCGCCACTGGGCCCTTGTACGTGGCCGTGAGGGAGCTCACCGCGGACGGGTACTACGGCGACCTGAGCGAAGTGCACACCCTAGATATGGCCGGTACGTATGTTCGTTGGTAGGGTTGCCACGACGCGAAACCTAAAAGTCGGACAGTCCGGACGTTTGGGTGGAAAGTTATTCGTAGGTAGGGTTGCCACGACGCGACATCTAATAGCCGGACAGTCCGGTCGTCCGAAAGTTAAATTAATATAATATATAATAATAATTGACAATTTAATGCTCACACATAATTATTAATATTAAGATAATAGTATTGGTACTAATGCTAGGGTGCGCAAAGGCGGTCTTTCAGGCGACCTTTGTTTCGTGTAATATTTGGAGAGAAAGACCGGAGGTAATGTGCCAATAGTAAAGATGAAAGTCAAAAATAATATAATATTATACAATAGGATACAGGTGTAGACAGTAGTCCCAAAAAAATACATATATTTTTGGTATTGTTTAATATGCTATTACCGATCATCACACTTTTATGCTTATTATATTTATAATATTTCTCAAACTAATTATGAAAAAAATCTTCTTACTCATATCAGAACTTAAAGAATTCAACCTTATGCATACAGAACGATATACGATATAGAGTTGCGTGGCGTAATCGCGAAGTCATGACAAGAGTCGTTTCCGTGGGAAATATTGAAAATTAAATTTATTTTAGACCTTAAGTAATTCTAAGAATATATTTTAGTTATTTTTGTAGACATATGTCATGTATATCTATAAAATTAAAATACAAAAAACAAGTTGCCTACGCCCCTATTTGGATGCAATTTTGCTGACCAAATTTATTGTGTATAATTTAATACACTTTGTATGTATTTTATGTGTCACACATTTTGTAATGTTCAGTTTGGATTCTTTTGGCAGAAGGTTTTCGGCAGGTTATGTACTTACACTACCATCGTAAGCAGACCTTTTTTAGTAGGGAAGTTCTATACGAAACGCAGTCGGTACAAATGGTCCACAATGTATAGTCTGACTATCAGCCGTGCCTACTAATACATCCGCAATGAAAGTAAATCAAATAGCTTACAGCCAGTTGCACAAACGTCCATTAAATTTTTCATTAGTTTAATATGACATTACCCATTCAAATATGACATTCATTTGGGCTTAAAGGCGTCATTAAACCTTTCTGGACGTTTGTGCAACTGACCGATACAGTTTTATTACGTTCCAAAGAGTGGTACACTCACACTTCACTACTTTATTAGATGTAAATACTATATAGTTAACGACCTCCGATGTGATGATGGTGAGATTCTAAGGTATTATTTGCTATGTGTTGTTATGTTATATGAAATTGTTGGCACTTGCATTAACAGGTGCTGAAGCCGAGACAGCAAGTGCCACCAGTGCTGTGTGGTGGGGGGTGGGCGGGGCCGCCATAGTGGCGATAGCGTTGGGCGGAGCTTTACTGCACGCTCTAATGCGGCACCGCAGACTCGCCAGATCATTCCTCAGGTAATTAACCCTCCGTTCAACTCTTAATATCTCGTTATACCACTTTCAATATTTTATATAAAACTTTGAAGTAAATGGTGAATAAAATTTACTTCGAAAGAGAATCAGTTTAACTTGTATTAGTGTAAAAATTCTATTGACCCCATTTTCTTTTTGTATAAAAACAAAAATATAATAATACAAACATAAAACAAATATAAAACAAACGAACACGAAACAATCTTAATGCAAAATGTTTAAAAAATCCACTTGGTCTCTGGCACCCAGAGATGGGAATAGAACCCGCGACCTGTCGCTATCCGAGCGACTGCTCTAACCGCTGAGCTACCCAGGACCTAACAGGACTGACGAATCTTTCAAGCACTTGTTACTTTTCGCTACTACAGAGCGTATTCTCATCAATGTTCAGGCATCCAAACAAAAAGCATTTTTTATTAAGAATAATTTTCAGTATGGCATTGTGAATGCAAAATTAATCAAAATATAATAATTTGATGTAAAAGGTGAATAAAATTCACTTCGAAAGTGAATCAGTTTAACTTGTATTAGTGTAAAGATTCTATGGAGCTTATTTCCTTTTGTATAAAAATACGAAACAAGATTGATTTGTTCATACGTGTCTCAGATCAATCCCGGTGGTTTCAAAACTCACTTTACTTATGTCACGATACGTTAAAACCAATTCAAGGTTAAGCGGATATCGCTGTGGACTCATTAACACTCGGAGAAAATAGTTTGGGAACTTGAAAAAGGCACATTTAAAGTTTATATGGTGAAGAATGGTAGGAACCTAATTTTTGATATTGTAAAGAAAGTACTACCATGAAACACATTACTATGCGTTGGACATTTTGGTTTACCGAATGTCAAACAATCGTAAAGAAATCTAATAGAACATTAATAATGTCCAGACTTTAAAATAAAATTAACATTAAGTTTGAAATTGACTCATTTAAAGTTGATATGGTGAAGAATGGTAGGAACCTAATTTTTAATATTATAAAAAAAAGTACTAATTACTACGAAACACATAACATACATTACTATCCCTTGGACACTTTTGTTTACTGAATGTCAAACAATCATAAAGAAATACAGTCTCTAATAAAACCTTAATAATGTCCAGACTTTAAAATAAAATTAACAATAAGGCGTCCACTAATAAAATCTGATTATGTATTACAATTTTGAACTCTATTTAAACTGACTAAGACGCATTGTTTTATAGGAAAAAATTAGCGCTAGTCCGATTTGCATTCTAATAATATTTTCCTGTTAACTCCTGTCCTATTTTTATATCTCAATATTTTTGCATTCAAATAATATTTTTCTGTTGACTCCTGTCCTATTTTTATATCTCAATATTTTACTTTTCTTGTAATAAGATTTATCTAAAACGAGAGCCGTAGAAATGTCATCGGCACGTCATAATTTTCATTAAAATTTGCAGAAATGAAGCCTCGATGTGCAAGTTTTAGTCAGTTCAACGTATTGATCTATATAAATCGCATATGTTATTTTGTTCTCAGATTCACAGCGCACACGCCGCGTTACGATAGCCGCCGCGGGCAGGCGACCATCGGCGACCACGGTGAGTGCTACGATTTGCCACCCGCTGCTACGACACCGTAGTATCGCTACGATGCACATTACATTACTGTAAACTCATCAACATTTTAGTCACAAGACATTTAAGTGCCACTGCTGTATATAATTCTCCCCATTTCCTGCCATTTTGGTCAGTTGCAAACCAATGAACTGCATCTAGCGGATTACCACAATTTTATTATATCACCCGTTTATCTTGGAAATGGCCGTTCTATGTGAAAAATAATTCTGTTATTAATAAGCAAGGTCTAGCGTTGGAGTAAATTTACGCTGAGACTGCAATAAGTATTAGTCAAAATTCATGTTATTGAACAGAGAATTTGCAAAAGTTAACCTAGTACGAGGTTCTACGAGAGTATTATTTACTCCTAGAAGTTACTAGGTTTGCTTATTCTCTGTATAATATGTATTTGAACTAATACTAATATTGCGATTTACTCTTACGCTAAACCTTGATAGTACAGTAGAAGACACGTTACACCTTTCGTCATAGTGGTGAGATCTAATGATCGGCAACATCCGCAATATCTCATTGAATCAGTATTATTGGATTATCATCCGTTGTCTTGCGAAACTATATCAATAGGAAAGAACTTCACTCGCTGATAATCTAACATCGAATAGTTGATGGATGTTTAATATTATATGCTGTCGATTTTCAGATGACGACGACGTACCCCCGATCCAAGGGTTCTCTGACGATGAACCGCTCGTGATAGCGTGATCCCCCCGCCGATGTGATGAAACCGTGATCTTGTCATAAAATAGTATTTTTTAAAATAATATTTGTTATTGTACCGCAGCGATGCGAACCTAGCGAATTTTGTACTCTATATTAGTCAAAATGTGTCGTGGTAGCGTAACAATATGTTAGTTTATGTAAAAAAAAAGTACTGATTTATTTCGAGCGTCCAGTGGTTGGACGAAACACTGCACCGATGATACGTTTCGTCGATTTTCTTTCTTTCTTTTTTCTTTTTTTTTTTCCAAATCTCAATCAGTAACACGTAATTACAGTCAACAGCACGTTAGTCTACATATCCAAAAATGTCAAATTTCTCCACGTGATTTTAAACCTTATTGTATTGTAGTTAACAGTTCAAAATGAATTGAGAAAATTTTACATACTGTAGTAGGCTAACGTGCAGCTGTGTGTAACTAGGACTGTAGTATCAAAATAAAATAATTTTCTGTTAAAATGTAGTCAATAAGAGTGGAATAAACAATAAGGGAAAATTAGTAAGGAAAAGGATTTTTTTTTTTTTAATTTTTCAATATCATATATTTTTATTTCAACATCACGTGATTTCAAACACCAATCACGATTATTACGTCGTCACCCACAGTTACTCTTCGATAATTCAGATTACGACCAGAATCGTTTCGGTTATAAAATGACATTGTAAATATTTATAAAATTCGACGAAACAAGTTATCGGTGAAATTGTTTCGGTCAACTGCCGATACTCAATTGAATTAACTGACATTGACTAAATTATTCGTTATCCATGTTATTATTTAAACAAGTTAGAGTATTATCATGTTATGAAGTATGTTTTAAGTTGTAGGAAATTGTTGTATTTTAATATACAATACAGGTGGGTACGCCATATGCTATTATTATTTTTTTAATATTTATACTATCTACCAAATGCTAGTTGAGTACGACAACGAGTTGTAATAGTTTATAAATAAAAGACATTTTTGCTTGCTCATTATTAATTTTTTATAGGATAGAAAAACGTGTGTTATTATTATGAAAGTATATTACAAGTTCGACACCAAAGATCCTCTTATGAATAAGTACATTGTTAGTTTAAAAATCCAAGGTCTGTGTTGAACTTTATGTGAGTAATATAGTTGTTTAGTAATGGATCTCTTCATTCCCAATTCCGATGATTATGCTTAGATTTTTTTTTATAAAATGCTTAGTTCCTAATTTTTTGCTTCAAAAAAGAAAAAAGATTTATTTTCTGTATAAAATTTCGATAAATTCGTGTCTATAAGGAGGCTCTATAAGGATGACACCATTAAATGTAAAAATTGAAAATGAAATAAAACTGATAAAATAGATATGTTTTTTATTTGTAACTACAAATGATATCCACAAAGAGACCTTTTCTTTTAGTTCAGAAACAAAATAAATTGGTTACATTCAAATTTTATATTCTTACCTTAAAACGATATAAGCTGGAATATTAATCGAGTTCCTTAATAATAATCATTATACATACATTCATTAATAATTATTCTAATGTTAACAGCCATGAATATTTAAAACATCGATTTAAGTTGTTACAAAAACCAATAATTGTATGAAAAGTAAATGGTTAATTCGAAAAGGTCCTTAATCAAAATAAGAAAACAAAGTTTATACAAACAGGAAAACCAAACAATTATGGCAACACTCATGTCGTTTATATATTCTTATAATTTTTATATATTCAATGAGACGAAAAAAAAATTTAATTCGAAGCCGTGCGTCGTTTATAAGGAGTTTGGAACCCATAATGATGGGTCTGTTTGAAGTAATTCGAGAAATTCAATATTAACAATTGCTCCATTCCATTATTATTACAAAAATACAGCATTACTCTCGCTATGAACTTGCAACAAGTCAGACAGATCCCATAAAATTTTAAGTTTACTGTGTACGCGCAAAAACCGACACATGATGTTAAACTACAAACGTGAAATCAAACTGCACATTGGCAAATGTCCGAGACACATTTGGCATATTTGAGCACATGTCTGGCTGAGGCAGATCTAAAATGAGAGCCGAGTTCAAAATTATGATCATTGGTTGTTGACTTGGACGTTAAAAGAAATGAGTTCTCAATGGGTGCCAATTCAAGGGTCAGTCCTGAAATTTATGGTTAACAACACAAAATATTTTTATAACAAATAAAAATTTACTTTCTTTTTACAAATAAGGATAATATATTGAAGATCTGACTTGACTACTTTTCAAATGAATTTACGAAGGTATCGATAGAGAAAAAACAAATACCAAATGTTATTAAGGCTATTGTGCTTTCCTACACTTGCTAACATTTGAAATATTCGAATGAATTGCCCATTCAGTTACGCGTTTTCTGTTTATACTTGACATGGTCATGTCGGGGCGGCATAACGTGTGCAGGCGGTTGTACTCTACAATAGAGCTATCTGGTGATGAAATTTTTTGAGCGATGAATCATCCTCGTTCTTTTTGAGTACTTCAACTACTCGATTTTTTAATACCGTGGAGTCTATTTCGTCTATCGAATTTAATTTAATTTCTGGTTGCTCCATGCTTGCCAACAGTGCAGTATTAAACTGGTTACACATATTTTAGTAGGAAATTATTTAATTTAGAACATATTTTAGATTGCAGTCTGAAATAAGATATGATTTCTTTGATTCCGTCGTTTTATTTTAGCGGTTAATTTGAGGTGTCGATGGGATAAAGTGCAACTGTCTTGCTTGACTTCTTATTACATCCATTCATAAAAGATTCAAAATTTGAAGCACTAAGAGACCCTAAACATTTAAGGACATCACATGACTTCTTGAACGGGGACAGTTGTCTCAGTAGTTCTCTCACTCATTTGCCTTAACGTCTCGCTACAACATACATACGCAATCTTTGCGTTTATTTCATTCTCCTCATTTAAGGTGATGTTGTAATCACCTCAAATGAGGGGTACCTGTACCTCGCAAGGTAAAACGAGGTCCTCAGTCATCATCAATTAAATAAAATGTGTGAGTGAGTTACATGAAACCCTAGTCCGTTTCGTTCTAAATGGCTTGACACGCTCTCGCGTGACTAGACTCCGCCTTAAAAAATTGCAAAAAGGTTTAAACTCTAGCATGTGATATGAGGAATTCAATGAGTTATAAACAGTTTAAATGTGTCTTTACAATATAACCTTTATGTTTATGTTCTAGTTGAAACAATAACGCGATGTGCAATTTGTTACAGCGTCATCTAGTGCTGGGCGCGCGAACTAAGAAATTGAGCTTGCTGTCTGTGCTGCTCTCCTTGCTTTCTTTTTTAGTAGTTAAGATGCGGTGTGTGCCGCGATTGTGATAAAAAAATGCAAATCTATTTCTTAAATTTAACATGTTAAACAATTTTATATATTGTATTATTTGGTATTTGAACATATAAAATTGTATGCTCAAGATAAACTTGAGAATTTGGATAGGGTCATTTTGCAACTGAATCAAAACCTATTTCGAATTTCGGAGTGGTCTCAAAGTTTCGGAATTACTGTGAATCCTGTCAAATCCCAGGCTATTATTATCGGTAGTCCGAGGCTGATTTCGTTGCTTAATATGAATACAACTCCGCCTTTGTTATATAATGGGGTGGTAATTCCTTATTCTTCAAACGTGAAAAACTTGGGTGTAGTCTTTGACCGTACTTTGTCTTGGGAGGGGCACTTGGATAGTGTTAGTAGACGAGTTAATGGCACTCTTGCGGCTTTGTACCGACTAAAAAATTTTCTTCCGTCCAGTACTAAGGTTGTCCTCGTACAAGCGCTTATTCATCCCCTCTTTGATTATGCTGATGTTTGTTTTTCTAACATGAACCAAATATTTCTAGACAGATTGGATCGTCTTCTGAATAATACTATACGCTTCGTTTTCGGTCTACGAAAATACGACCATATCACTGAATTTCGTAATCAACTGAAATGCTTGCCCATCCGTGAACGCAGGTTGTTGAGAATAGTATGTACTCTCTTCAAAATTCTTTACGATCCACATACTCCTGAGTATCCGAAGGAACTTCGCTCCAGTTGCAATCTTGTACTTCAAACTCCTGCTCACCATACTCGGTTTGTCCCGGATTCTTTTACCCTCACAGCCGTAAGACTTTGGAATGCACTTCCTTTGAATATCCGGAATGTGTCAAACAGTTTCGTATTTAAGAGAGAAGTACGACAATATTATCTCCAATCAATTCGTGTGTCCTAGTCTTCATTTATCAGTATGTGTATATATATATGTATGTTTATGTATTTTTTATATAAGATTATAGTGTGTATGTATATATTTGTATTTTATGTATAATTTGTTGGTATTATTAGTTATAAATTGTAACTTTGTTCTTTTAATGAAACCGCCTTTTGAATGCTCTGTACACCTTCACCGGTTTAACTTGTAGAGAATGCCTTTTTGGCATTAAGTCCGCCATTGCTATGTTATAGGCATAAAATTTAAATAAATAAATAAAATCAATAAATTTAATTAATTTAATATATTAATATAAATTTATATAATAAATTTAATATATTAATTTTTTATAATGTTTACTTTAACAAATATTTTATCTTATGCATATACATTAATTTATATGTAGGTATACTACAACTACATCCATCAATCCATACTGGACCTGCGCGGGTATCTGTGGCCCGTTTTACCTATTTGATTGAAATCAAATGCCAATAAATGTTTCTTCTTCGTCTTCTTCTTATGGATCCGTCCATAATGCATTTGAGGGCTTGTATTCCAGCACTTTATTTTAATAATATAGCAGGTACCCCAGCAGTTATATGGACAGTCGCATACAGTAATAGGCTGACTAACAATAATGATGACTGCAAGTGCATTTAGAAAAAAAAAATCATCCACCACTAATAATGGGTGATTTGCTATAGTTTTATCTATTTTCAGGGGCTATCCCATGAGCGCGATGTGCTATTTGTTATACATATGTCGCACTATTTTCATAAAATGCGCGATTGTACTTTTTTGAGCTTAATGGAAAACGTAAGAGTAATGGAAAATTGTAGTCGTGATTATGTTTTATTTAAGTCCACGCAAATACTCATCTGCGCGGCGATCGAATAAGTCAAAAAACGAAGACAAACCATGTACCAGATCAAATCTTGGATCATTTACGGCAAGTTGCACAAACGTCCATTAAAACTGTCATAAGTTTAAAACGATATTACCGGTACAAATTACATTCATTAGAGATAAAGGGGTCAATAAACCTTAATGGACATTTGTGCAACTGACTATTTTTGTTTTATTCTATATTTAAATCGTTCATCACACGAAGTATCCAATCGTGAGCAGAGTTGAGCACGACAGCACTGTCGCTATAGACTGCCACACCGACAGAAGTGTCGCGGCCATCGATATTGCATATGAGCGATCCTCCCAGTCCTGTCTGTAAAATATAATAATAGCTAGTTGCTTTCCCGCGACTTCGCACACATACATTGTAGCCTATATGTCAAACTCGTGTGATGTAGGGTTTGACTTATAGGCTAAAATTTACACAGGTGAAATAATATTTAAAATATATCATAATCCAGTAGTTTCGGTGAAAGTAATGAAATCTTTCCTCTTTATAATAATATGAGTAATGATAAACAAACTTACTGAATAACTGTTAAAAGAACCCGGGGGTTAATTATTGAGGTTACAAATTCCGGATCCAGAGGCTACAACTATTAGACATGTAGAGATCAGGATTACAACTTTTTTTTTGAAAGATATTGTATAAAATTTTTATTTTTTTATTGAAAGGCAAGAGTTAAGCGCAAATATTACTTTAGAATTAGTTACTATATTTTTTTAACATGTTTCTTGACGTTGAAATCATTCCTTCCAAAAACGGTTGCGACTTTAAAGGGTACCTAACCTTATTCTATAATAGCTTTCACAGGCGGTATATCTTTGGAAGGGATTGCTTGATAGATTTTGAAATTAGACAATTAGCTCAGTCCATACCACAATGCCACGTGACTGAACGGTTGCACAGAAAGCTTCGCTTGGTAATGCGATCACTTTGGCGAAATTATTTCTGCAATCGTGTGCTGGCACCACTGATGCCTTCTGCCATCGACTCCGCTGTCGCATAGCTGGAAAAGTCAAAAAAAGGTTTAAGTTTACTTATTTTATTACATATCCATAAACTAACGAGCGAGGAGGTTTTTTAACCGAAACTGTTTAACTTTAAATTATAAAAAACCACCAAGTCGGACTCCCAGACGAAGGGTTCCGTTATCTATAAAAAACGTAAGAAAATCACGTTTTTTGTATGGGACCTGTCCCTTAAATATTTTTTTTGTATTTATTAGTATAACGGTATTAGAAATACGTTTCATAACAGCCTGGTCATAGACTGACGGACAGCGGAGTCTCAGTAATAGAGCCCCATTTACCCCTTTGAGTACGGGAGCCTAAAAATTATAATATTGTCTTGAACTACCGGCAAAACTCGTTGGCGATGGCGTAGTGGACGACCGCCACGGTCCGTGAGCGTTGTTACTAATCAACTTTCACAGGGGTCGGTCATGTCTTCAGACGGCACGTTAACGATTATTTATTTGTTAGAAATCTGTATGAGACGTATTACTTTAAATGCAGTGCACATTTAATGTAATACGTCGACCACCATACTAATCACGTGTATACTCCATTACTATTACGTCTCCATCTAGCTAGACTGTCTCCTCATGTGTCATTTTATTATAACCATTATTAGTTCAATTTTCTTTACTTTGTCCTTTATTACCTTTATGCAACATAAGTCATTTTTGGCCTTAATAACATTAAACTTAAATTCAATACCTTGATCGAATCCACCCCATCCATAAAACTTACACTCTTCTTCATCGTGAAAACTAGATAGGCAAGCTGGTTGGACTTTTGAGTTAAATCGAAGAGGACGGGCCCAATGCTAGAAGAGAGCTTGACAATGTGTAAGGGTTTTCTAACGGTTGACATTTCGAAGAACAGGCTTGTTTAAGGCCTCTGATGCAATCCACTGATAAAACAAGATCAATCAGGAAGTCTTTCATATGAATTTGACAGAATTATTGCATTATTCTTAATACAAAATGCTTAAAAATCCACTTGGTCCCTGGCACCCTGAGATGGGATTCGAACCCACGACCTTTCGCAATCCGGGCGACTGTTCTAACCGCTGCGCTACCCAGGACAACAAGTGCTTGAAAGATTCGTCAGTCCTGTAGGTCCTGGGTAGTCAGAATACTCAGAGTACCTAAGAATAATTTTAAGTATGGCATTGTGAATGCAAAATTAATCAAAAATATAATAATTATTGCATTCCGCTGGCGGCTTCACCGTGGTTTTCCAACGTTTTTGTAACATTTATCATTGGTGCTCTACTCCTATTAGCCATAGCGTGATGTTATATAGCCTATAGCCTTCCTCGATACATGAACAATTCAATATTTTTTCAACTCGAACCAGAAATTCCTGAACAAATAGCTTTATAATATTAATAGATGTAGATGATTGTTCGAATAAAAAAAATTTGGATCGAATTCAATTTTTTTCTAATATTTAAATGCAAAATAACGAAACTAATAGCTAATGTACCTTTACTGTTCAGGATGATTTTTTCTTAGACCCTAATAAGTGAGTTTCGTATCTATATCGGATTGTCTTTCATGGCATTTATTATATATATTGCATCTACTTTTTGTTGTTTCCAATTAGGTTCAAATCACTTGAGTAATTTGAGATTATAATAAGAGCATTACCAGAGATTAGCCTTACCAGTATAGCAAGATTATTTGATAAGATTTCACGTCTCCACTGAGGGTGCAATTTAATCATTACTATACGATTTTGGGTTTCCGATCTCTCATTAATATCTTCTAAGCCGGTGATTACTGCTAAAGCATCTTTAGCAGACGTTCTAGTGGTATAACTGAAAAGGAAAACAAGTATAGATAAGTTGTAATCTCATCAGATTTTATCTAACTACTTAATCAGGAAGTGTAAGGCTACGTAATTTACGGATTACAGAAAACAACATGCTTGTGTAATATTAATTAAATAAAAGATAAAAAATCATAGAAGTAATCTAGTCTAGCTTTTTGTTAGGCCAGGATCAGAAAGCATAACGACAATCATGATGTTTCTTCATTCATTTAAGGGTGATAATAATGGACTTGCTCTTAAAACGATCGATAAATTATAAACCATTTCATCTATCTAATTCCAGGTTGGGTGCGCCAGACCCACACCAGGAATCAGTAGTACACCATTTCAATCATCATCAACGTTTTTTTGCATTTCTGATTTTTTTACGTTTGGTAGCATTGCTGTACTTCTAATAAATATGCCATCTATAACCTGGTCCACCTTATCCCTTTATCTAATCGTCAGTTTCATAGGCACATTGACATTTGGCGCGTTATTTTTTTCATAAAAATAAACTTAATAGCGATTACGAGAATTTGAATTTACTACATGATTTATGGTAAGTAAGGAAGGAGTACAATATTTCTTTTTCGCAATGGTTTCTGCAACAATTGTGTCACACCATCAAAATTAATTTCAAAATGTTGCTCGGTTTGCTACTGGTATAACTACCTTAATTAAACTCCGAGGAGTAGGGCAAAGCATGATGTAGTACAGGATATATTCAATATTCATTATAAGTGAATGCTTTACGATCTATTCCTATTTATGGCTTTATGCGATATCAATACTATCGTAGAGACGACTTGATAGAAATATTGAAATTTTTTCAACGATACATACTCACTAACACAATCTCCAGCCGTGACTGCCATTCGTGGGTGGATGATCGTAGAGTAACACAGCACATTTCGAGGTCTTCTCGAGAGTACTACTACGGCTAGCCAAGGGTGAGAACCAGTTTCTGCTTCGCTTAATTTTTTATCTGTTAGAATAATGAAATTTTACTGAATGGCAAACAATTCTCGTTCCAGTTTTAATGTCGTATTTATGAAATTTTGGTAAATAAATTTTCTACATTTAATAAAAAACGAAATCTCCTCCGAGCTCAAAATTTAATCACATTTATCCAAACAGTTTGGCTGTAAAAGTGACAGTTACTTATATGTTTTATAGGTATAATAGCAATGCAACTGATTATTCCGAAGTTAAAATATACCTAGCTTCATCAATCTTAATGGATGTTTGTGAAACTGACTAGTTTTAAAGTCGTTTCACTATGACCCTTACCGCGATTTTGAGTCTCACTATTTTTATATGTCTTTCCACAATTTCTGTAAACTTGTTCATCAACTCGTTCATTGCTATCATTTCCAATATTCGATTCGGTCGAGCTTCGTCTAGAATAATATTTGCTTTTAGTCCGCCCCAAGTTTAGAAGTTTGAATCCTTGTAACACGTGAAAGTTCGGATTCGAGTGAAAATGTATCGTTTGTCTTTCTACATCCACCGTCGTGTCTTCTTCTGGCTGTTCTGTAGTAATTGGTCTCCGTCTATTTTGCGGTTTTGACACTGTAAAAATGTTGTAATAAAGTTCCCGACATCTAAATTCTCAACCAGTGCATATTTATTTCTACGGCTTATAAGTATTTTTTCATTTATTTCTGATTTAAATATTGTGATGCTAATTGAACCAGAAATAAAACTGTAGGCATATCGACAAATATCGGTCATAGAGATAGTTTTTCTCTTAATGTCCGATTACAGTAATTAATGCATCAAAACAAACGTGAATAAAACAACAACTAAAATTACCTCTCCTAGGGTCAATAGTAGAGTACCCAAACGAAGTGTTGTCGTCTTCCTCGCTATAAACATCAGCATTATAGGGGGGATTAGGATTTTCAATTGTCCAACTGGGTGGTTTATTTTCGTATTCTGAATATATGCCTACCAGTCCTGGGCTAGGTAATTCTACTACATAGTCTTCAACATAATCATCATAATTCTCTTCTTTTGTCAAGCTATCTTTTGTAGAACTTTTGACATTCCAATAAGGATCAATGGAGTCGTCATCTGGACTAATTATTTTTGTGGTAGTCGCTGTTGCTTGTGAATTTTTATTAACAAATTTGTTTCGCATCAAAAACTCTCTCTGGTTCAAAGGTAAAACTTCCTTATTTGATCTCTTATTTCGTATTACATCTGTTTTAATGGAATCAGGAATCTTGTTAAGGTTATTCTCTACTGGTGATGATAAAATACAGCAAACTATAAAGATATTGATGGACTGTATTGATTTCTCCCTGAAAATAGAAAATCGACTTTTCTCTTTTAGATATTTAAAAAAGAAACTATACATTGTATTTACTTACGATTTTGTTGTGTAAACGAAGCCGCTTCTTTTGTGACATATAGTTTCTTTCATATATGTGCAAACGTCTTCGGTATAAGATGCATTTTGGATTGTCTTTGTAGGTTGGTTTTCTGTAATTATTTTATTAACTTCTGTTTTTGTAGCAGTTTCCTCATGTTTAATTGTTGTTGTATCTTGCCATGTATCATATATTTTATCAGAAAAAATTAATTCATCAGTATTCTTAGTTTTCAATTTTTGTGTCCATTTTTTTAGAGTATTACTGTTGTGCAAGTGTTCATGTAAAAATGGAAGAGATATTTTCTCTGTTGAAAGAATTATATCATCATAATGTTACTGTCAATTTCGTTTTGAACTTTGTAAAATTACTAATAAAAGAAAATGGGACTTTGTTTTTGGATATGTATTTTTCTTTCATTTACGTTATCAAGGGTAGGTTATACAATATATTATTTATTTCTAATTATAAAAGAATGTTTTTAGACGCTTCTAAGTCATTATTTCGTTCAAAATTGTCTTTAACTTACTTATCAACAGAAGATGTTGAGGTAACGGCTCTATTGTTTCACTTTTCTTTATAGCATCGTTCAACCACCAGTCACTATTAGACTGAGTCAACAAAAAGTTTGATATAAGGATGTACAATAATATCTCTGTTAATACCATGGTGCTGTCAACATATGCGAGCACAGTTCACGAGTGCATTGCGTAAATGTTGGAAGCGCAGGAAACCCCAACGGGTGCAATGATTATGTGACAATTTAGGGGCAACGACTGCACAATAATGCTTTAGCAATTGTGCGTGGCTTGTGTATTTTGCAATAACGATGTCTGTTTAAATATTGAATTGCTTCAATGCGATTACAGTAATAGGATTGAAATTGAAATAGATGTTTGTTTTCATACTGGATTGGCGAAGTTAACTCTTTATTCAAATAACTTTTCGAAAAGTATTTTTGAAGTCTCGATTAAGTTTACTGTAAAAGTACCCAAATCTAACTATTTATACATAGATTTGATTCAATTTCATAAAACCACATATTAATTGGTTAAATGCGTTCAGTACGTCGATCAACTATCGAATTCTACTAACAAATACTCATTGCTAACAAACTCAAACGTGGAGTTCAATCAGCACTAGCTTAATGAAGAATATACTCCATGTCTGTTGAATAGCGTTCCGAATGAAATTATCGAGAGCTGTATAAAGTTTCTAGTTTAGTTCCGAGCCGATGGCTACATGAACGCTAATAGCTACATTTAAGACTGGGATGCACAGAGCTATTTATATAGCTATTTTTTTTATAGGTAATGAAACACTGTACATCTATATATAGATGTAAGAATTGTTAATATGTACTTGTATTAATATTATTATTAGCTATTAACAATTCATACTCGATTCAAAATCTCGTCTATGGGTTAAAAATATTTGATATGTAAGATTTAAGACTATGCAATAGCCACTCATGTAATTATCCGACTTATGTCCAATATGTTTGAAATCTAAGGTTTTAGTGCTTTATCTCTGAAAACCTTAAAGCTGTTTATACGATTTGAAATACAGATGGAGAGAAAAACACAAATGTAAAGCTAATTATATACAAAACTTAAATCAACGCAAAATTCTTTAAATCAAACCGATAACATAGTTTAGTTAAATTATAAATAAACGCCATCTAGTATAGCTAAGCTCAAAGTGTTTACTTAATGCATTTTTACAATTCAAATTAAATATTTTACAAATTTAAAATTACATTATTACAAATTCAATACTAAAAAAATATAATACTTTAAAATTCAACCTCGACCAAAATAGAGCGATGTACAAATATACTTAACGCCATCTAGTATAGAACAAAATATATAGTTTGTGATTACTTTCCTATATAAAATGATTTGTACTTGAATATCTTTAAAAATATTCATTTAAAATGTTATTTTTGTTTTAAGTTATGTACTCGTATAATCATTTTTATCACAAAATAAGGAAATATTAGTTCTTAATATTAAATAGATGTATTACAATGAAAACTCAAATTGTAAACAATGGTTTCTTTGCTATGGTTACATATTGATTCCCTATAAAAACTTTCACTCTAAATTTCATCCCTTTAAGCAGTGCCGGCTTAGCCACGTAGCAAGAGTAGCAAACGCTTCAGGCCCCGCGCTTTTGGGGTCCCCGCGCAATTGGGAGCCTCGCTATGGTTCTAGCCAATAAATTAATTTTGAAGTTAGTGTTAAAAAATGTAAGAAATGAATTAAGCCATGCTTCTGCCTAATGTCATATTTTTAGGTATACACATGTGACGGGTTCGATGCTTGGGCAAATAATAAAAGGCTGACTAACTTGAGAGAAAAGGAAAGAAACTGTTACAAACAAAAAATGAATATAAAAATAGTTCGTATGTTAAATAAATATAAAATTAAAATTACCAAATAAAACGAATACCCCTTTTTGGGGTTCTCTTAATAAAAATTTGGATCGTCCAAGTTTCAGGATATACTTTTATTTTATTTATAATTTTGATTTTAATAACATATCTTCATTAATAAAATTTTTATATTTAAATTTATACGATTTACAATATTCACAACATAAGATTTTTTACGAAATTACAATTACAAAGAGTATATTTTATTAGGCAAAATTTCTAATCACGAAAGTTGAATATCAAAGACTAAAGTTTGGATACTGAAACCTAGGACGAAATAAACGGTGGTACAGCACACCGTTACACACATAAACTGTCAAATAAACCTCAAGTCTCATCTAAGGGTCACTTCTGTTTATTCGGAAAACCAAAGACGACTTTTCTGTATCGTTTGCAATGTTACTGATTTATTCGACATCGTTATCCCTAAAGATATATTAGTTGATTGAAAGAATGTATTTATTTTTTTGAAAAGCCATAAAACCATGGTATGTTTAAATTTTTGAACATTGAGAAAAAGTTGAATATGCAATTACATTTACAATAAAATTTTAGAATTCAAGAAATTTGTTTTGTTTCAATTATACACTTAATTAACGTCAAGCAAACGGAGGGGTGGGGGGATAAACAACTTAACTAATACGATAACTAGTAAACAATAAACAATACAGTGAAAATTACGCAGACCAAAACATTTTGCTTCTTGAAAGTTGGCTTTTTGAAAAGTGTTATAATAACAGTCGGTAACGAAAAAAAATTATATGATAAGTTGGCTAATTATTATTCGACGAAATGAAATTCTGCATAACGACAGTTGGTAAGTGATGATCGACTAAACAATTTTCGGCGTAAAGGCAGAGAACCAATGGATTCAGTGTGAATGCGTGAATGAGTTATTATTTTCTTGTAAATGAAATATTCCTACGTGACATATAAGTACTCAACCCTATTGAGCATGTCTTTCGAGAATTCCATAATTTGTAGCAGGATATAAAACAATAATCATATATTACTTGATTTATAATGCTACATCATTTTATTTGGTGTCCGAGATAGGATAAGAACCTTTCAAAATCCTAACCATTTATATGTTCTTTTGTTTGAATTATATTCATCAAGTTAAAGTTTCTGACTTCATTTGAAAACGTGTATTAACTAAATACGTAATCCATTAATTTACTTTATGCTTTAAGATTACTCAAAGAGACGTTATTTAACTTATACAAAGAACGATAATCCGTCTAATCCCCATAAGTAAATTTAAACAAACTTTTGTTGCGATGGGAAATTGCTAAATAATGTCGCTAAGAATTAATTTCAGTTGGATTTATGCCTCATTTTACGTAAAAACTTTTACTTTTACGATTGACTATTCCTTTTATAAACATTATAATTGTACCCGAGAAGTTTGGATGTCTTTATATGTATTTTATTTAAAGGTCTTGGTTGTACCGACTGTAACGATGCGTCGTACCACTGTTTATTTCGTCCTAGGCTTCTGTATGCAAACTTTTTTCGTAATTTGAAATTTTGAGTAATTCAATATACTCTTTATGAATGCCAGTTGGTGAAAGTCAGAAACATTATAATTACATACTTAATTTCATTCACAAACTATTTATTTTAAAAATTTTATAAATTTATTTATTTTTTCTTTATGCTCACGAGTTTGAACTCAAGAAAAATGTAATAATAGTACTTTACGATATTAGTGCGTTATGATGGTCAAACATGCGAGGGGAGGGAATTTCAGACCGAAGGCGAGGGCGTAATTGAGCCGAGCATGTTATAACCAATACGCACATATATCATACGATGTTTTTTAACACATTTGCGAGGAAACAGAAAAAAAAACATTAAATAAACTCAATCTGTGAATGTACACTGTTGCTTTCCCGCCATTTTAACAGCGCGCTAGCGCTGCCTACTGACTGGCGCCGCGTGGCGATTAGTTTAAAATATGAATAGCAACAGCGCGCGAAATAGCAAATAATATTGTTATGGAATTTGTATGGACTATAACTTAACTATTTGCTTTGGTAACACACGCGTTTTTTATGATCCACTTTACATATTTAAAACCGGTGGAATTACATCAGCTTTACGAGCAAAGGTGTTAAAAAGGTAAATTACGACGTATCAAACCCAAAGAAATCGTTTTTTTTTGTTACCATTAATTAAAACAAGTTCTCAAGCTTAGTCAGCCTTTTATTCAATTGCCTAAGCATCGAACCCGTCTCACTACTACTACTTTTAATAACTAACAGATCAGAGACAATATAGAAAAGTTCATTTGCTACATTGACACAATTGGGAATCGAACCGAGAGATCGCGATATCTTGAAACTGGCGTACGAGCCACTAATAGTAATGATAACTATACAAAAATACTCAACAGGTTGTATCGAAATCTTGTAAGATTTTGGTTTGACATAAAGACTCCTTAAAAAACAAAAATCAAACCAATTCCTTAAATTATAATAACATCCTTTAATTATATTTGTCTGTCATCGAACGTAAACTTCGAATCGTTTTTATAATTTTATTAAAATTATATTCACAAAGATTTATCTGTGCATCAGAGGCAGTGTCCTGTCTTCGTTGCAGTTTATGAAATTATCGAAATATGCATTTCTTTGGAGTTAGCATTTCGAAAATAGACGGTATTTACGAATAAATAGAATGCCTTCAGGTGTCGTTACTTCGTACGAGTAGTAGAGAAATCTGTCATTTTTGTAACATTTTCCTATCAAATAAACACACAGATAGTATAATTTACTGGCTGCTGCAAATAGAACTAAATATAGTTAGTAAATCACACTACAGCTACGTTGTTGACGACAGCCACGTGCCGAAAAATGTACAGATCGAACGACCAATCACAGCGCCTACATTAGCGGAATTATCAGGGAGCCCATTGGCTGCGTAGGCGCCGTCCGCACGGTGGGGGCGATTCCCCCACCCGGCGCGCGGGCGTAAAACGCGCTGTGATTGGTCGGCCGCCGCGCGTCACTAGTAGCTAAGTTAGATGTTAAGTTTAGAATAAGGGTAGGGCCAAATTTGTAAATATTTGTAGTCAAGTCAAGTCAAGTCAAGTCAGTCAAGCAGTATAGTCAAGCAGTAATAAGTAGCCAGTAAGAAGAAAATAAATCATCTATAGAAGAAATCCGTCTTTGTTTTTCACCATCATCAACGGTTATACAGCATCGTCTACAGTTTGATCCATAGAGC